TGATTAAGGAAATAATTGATGAGAAAACATAAAATTATTGTGGGGTTGATAATAATAAGGTCTGTAAAGAAATAACATTGTTTTCATTACCACGACAATCTGCGTCTGGTCCTTAAAGTCTCGTTAAGTTTTTTATGTCTGGTAAGCTCTGCTAATAACCCATATGTTAACACTCTCTTGTATATAATACTAAAATACAAGTTGAGCCTAGTTGATTCAAAACATTTCAGCACAAGCTTCAATCATCCTTTCCTGTGTTATCGTTCTTAGCACGAGAAACAGTAGCTCAAATGGTTCACTTCAGGATTGCAATATTGTGGTCCAAATAAATATTTTTACTTTAACATTTGGTTATTTAGAAAATGGAATTTTTGGATTAGACTTGTTAGAACTAAGAACTAATGAAATTACTGTAAAACACTATAATGTTTTTCAACCTTGCCTTTCAGTTCAGTTTTTTTTCAACATTTCTTGTGTCACAGTATGTATAATTTTTTACTATTTAATATTAATTTAAGCATAATATTGTGCTAGCCATATGGGTCTGTTTGTTGTCTGTTGTTTTTAATTTAATGCCATGCTCAGCAATATTACAGGTATATAACGTTTGTCTGAAAATAATCGGGTCTGGACTAGACAATCCAGTTTGTCGCCTCTCATGACAAGCATGGATTGCTGAAGGGTTGTATGTCTGTTTATAATCAGGAAGTGTTTTGGCAAAGAACCAAAATATCATTATTGCCTTTTCAGCATGTTCAGTGATGAATTAAGGGGAAATGAGGTTGTGGAAATGGGCTTCTGTGAGAAATATCATGATACATTTGGCTTTTGGCCAACCTATGCAATCTTCTGTATTCCTGTGATGAATAACAATTATTCATGATAGTCGAGAAAATGTGAAAACGCTATAAGGAGTGTGTAGATGAATCCAAGCAATTATGTGAAACTATTTTTGACAGAGATAACATTAAACACTGCTAAATAAGGGTCTTGACAAATAGGCCTTATTAGTGATAGTAAATCTAGTTAATAATGCTTAGTCCTTGTTATGTTAGCCTGTGGGCTTATGGTACACATGTAAATATGCTAGTTTCATGCTGTCATATGTGGAAGTTGAAAGTAAATATATAGCCAGATTTAGTAAACAAGTGATAGAAGTCAACATGTAAAGCTTAACACTAAAAGGATGAACACAATAACAGTGAAAGGGTTAACACAATAACAGTAAAAGGGTTAACACAGTAACAGTATATGGGTGAACATGTTTACAGTAAAAGGGTTAACATGGTAACAGTAAAAGAATGAACACAATGACAGTAAAAGGTGACTATATTAACAGTAAAAGTAGTGATAGAAATTGGCACTAGTCCTATAGTCCTTGCCAAAGGGTGAACACGATAACAGTAAAAGGGTGAACACGATAACAGTAAAAAAGTGAACACAATAACAGTAAAAGCGTGAACACAATAACAGTAAAATCGTGAACGCGATAACAGTAAAAGCGTGAACTCAATAACAGAAAGGGTGAACTCGATAACAGAAAGGGTGAACATAACAGTAAAAGCATGAACTCGATAACAGAAAGGGTGAACTCGATTACAGAAAGGGTGAACATAACAGTAAAAGCGTGAACTCGATAACAGAAAGGGTGAACTCGATAGCAGAAAGGGTGAACTCGATAGCAGAAAGGGTGAACTCGATAGCAGAAAGGGTGAACATAACAGTAAAAGCGTGAACTTGATAACAGTAAGGGTGTGAGACACGAAAGGGATCCTGATTCCTGTAAATTTGCTGATTAGCATTCTACTAGGAGTCAAAATGTTTTGTTAACATTAGGGTAATGAGAAGGATATACACTGGTATATAGATAGAACAAACTTACAGTACAGCTATGTACAGGAGTTTTTATGCTAATGAAAGTATATTCTTACTTGACCACACTATTTGTAAGCCCATTAGTAAGTTGAACATACAAACGCGCACGCACATTCACACATGCACACACACGTTCACCCCAACCACCCATTCTCCCACTGTATTTTGTTTTGGCAGATGATTGATTTCTGCGTGTTATGGTATGTGCTATTTACAAATATGTCTGTAATATGTGGGTAGCGGTGGTAGATTGTTTGTTAGTCTCTATCTGAGACACACTGAAGATGGCTGTAGTTTTGAGCCAACGTGTAAATAAGATGAAAGGGCTTGTTGTGCGGAGGACTGAGAAGATCACCTCTGACATGCCCCGAGCCGACATGCAGTCATATGTTCCCTCATTTCTTAGACACTTCAAATTGAACAATATAACCTTCGTATACCTGGACTCGGTAGTTCCTGGGATGAATCGACTTCTTTGTGGCGTTGATGGATTTCTGAGTGTAATGGTATGTGCTAATTACAGATATGTCTGTAATATTTGGGTAGCAGTGGTAGATTGTTTGCTAGTCTCTTTCTGATAAGATAGGCTGAAAAATATACAGTTCAGAAAAATGTGGAGAAAATAATTGGAAATATTTTGATATGACTTCATATTTAGAGAGGACTATATGAAAGCATCAGTGGTAAGTTATGGCTGGTGTATGAAATCAACTTGATAAAAATTAAGGCACAATTTTTACTTTTCAAATCCATGTTCTGTCATTTGATACAAACAATCAAGTTGATCTACTTATTGGGGAGTACATTGTTAGCTGTAAAATGGCTCACATATATCATGTATATAGAGAACAGCATTAGAAATTGGCACTAGTCCTGTAGTCCTTGCCAAACTGCCCAATAGTTAAGGTATCATGAGGACTAGTAAAAATTTGCCATTTTTATGTGTTTTGCTATACGTTATCCTTACAAGGACTAGTGGACTAAAACTGTTAGTTTCTAATGCTGGAGAAGCAATGTGCACCAGCCAGGTTATATAGAGAGGTAGCTGTGTCAGAGAAGAGGACATATGCTATTGCATGAGGTCAGATGTCTGTGTTGAAGACAAACACCCCAGAGTGTCTGAAAAAGTCCAGGTGTGTGTCATAACCCTAATGTTAGAACAGGTCAAGGTGTCTATCATAACCCTGGTGTTAAGACTAAAAAAACACTTTTTTCAAACATTGGCCTATGTAGTTTGGGATAGATCTTGCCAGGAGTTTGATCCAACTAGCCAACAGCTCATTTTGGAATAGTGCTGTGTGTTGCATAATTTGGATTTGGGAGGAAACAGGTGTCATTCCATACGTTATTGTCTCAGACACAAGCCGACCTGTTGCTGTGCCTCTATTTTCAACTTCCAGCCCCTAGGTAACAACTTGTTTGGAAACAGGTATCAACTCCATATAACATGACCTAACCAATCAGATAACAGCCATCTATTGGCTGATTGCAGAACGAATCAGATCTCTCCTGATGACATGGTGTGTAATAAGGGCCACTTCATTCTCATCCACATGTGTAATAATGGATACTGGTTGTACACTCGGCTTGTCCGCGCCAGCTGCTTCCATACCCTTGCTGTGTTTGAACATTAGATTATCTCTCCTGCATTATCTCCCCTGATGGCGAGCTTCAAGTGAAATATGGTATGCAAGATCTGCAGGAGGTTCAAGTTAGCTGACAATTGAATTTTGAGACTTTCCAATTTAGAATCATCTTCTGAACTTGATACATGGCATGCACATGATATACAATTGAATTATTTCGCAGCTGCTTCAGTGCTTGTTCTGTATTCATTTTCAACATGAAGGCGGAGTAACAAAACAAGTATGTTACCATACATGCCATATTTGACTAAATCATACGTGCATAAAAAAATTGACAAAGGGGGCGCTTATTAAAACCATACACAAGTTAAATTTGTTGTCAGTGATCGAGTAACAGTAAACAAAGTTAGTTCGAATGTCGGTGAAGCTAGCATTTCTTCGATGATAGTTATTAGGCATTTATATGCCCTATCTACGCAGCTTCTTTTAAAAACATCTAACAAATCTCTAGCAAATACAGACTGCTTTGTAAATATTCTTCATATAATTTTTTTATAATTCGGTCTAAAAGTTTGTCAGGGTGTGCTTAGTATAGCAACTTCAGTACTATGGCATCACTGTTTTGAGATCCTATAGATCTCCAACTGTTGGTAATTGGAAAGGCTTTGTCATCCCACTGCAGTGTCAAATATGTGTCAACACCTGTTACTGGCGGAGTTGACATTGTTGCACTTATAGTGATTGCAGCCTTTAAAACAAGCACAGCTCCCACCTGGTGACAATTTTGAATTTATAACATAATGTCAGAACTCCCAAACTGTGAAATATTTCTTGTTTAAACTTGCTATATAGATCAGTCTAGTGGTGAGTGGTGCCTTTTGATGATTTGGGATTTTGTTTTCTTTATTTTGATTTTAATTTTATCATGACAAGTTTGGACTTTACTTAAAATAAAGGTAGTGCTCGTTTCCGGAGCACAACTCCCAAACCGTGAATATTTCTGGATGAAACTTGGTATATAGATCAGTCTAGTGGTGGACTGATGATTTGGGATTTCTTTTCTTCACTGAACTGATGCTATCAAATGGCAATGAACCAAAAGTGGGCTATAACTAAGGAGCCAAACTCCATTTCCAAGATGCATCTGACCACTGATGACTCTTGTTAAACAAGGCTGCACATCTTCAACACTTTTTTTCAAGGTGTTTGTTACAATACTTGTGACACAACTGTTTACATTGTTGCAGTCTGCATCTTCAATCACTAGTCAGAGTCCAGCAAAATTATGTTCGGTCCAGTAAGCTCTGCTAGTGATAGGCTACTAATATCAAAATCTACAGAAAATGATGTGGATATCCTATTTTGGGCTTGTAGACTCATAGGTTGCGGCACAGAATATTACAAGGTTATGACAGAGGTCCACCATTGTTACGACAGACATTGTTTTGTGTTACTAGAGATGACTGTTGAGCCCTACCATTTCAGGATCATACTGCAAACAAACATGGACTGTGTGACTAACTGGCACTGTTGTTTCAGGATCAAACAGCTTAATGAGCAGCAACGGCGGGAGCAGGAGAACATCTACATTGAGGAGCTTGCGGAGCTGATCTCGGAAAGTTTCACGGACATGAGTGTATTCTCCGTCAAGCCCGACAAGTGTGCAATACTGCAGGAGACCGTCAACCAAATCCAGCAAATTAACAAGCAAGGTAAACCATAGTTCTGTACTCACTGGCTGACGATCGGAAACCAGGAGGCCACCCAACTGTACACTCAATTGAAACTAGAAATGCTCACTTTTTATGATTTTAGTACCTCATAGCACTGATTGGTACATTCTTCTTTTTTAACAGTGGTCGGCTTTGATGCAAAAACGCAACCTGTGTCTTCACCATGTAGCCTAAAATGTCATGAAACCCAGTTCCTTGGTTGTCATGTATTGGCATAAGAACCTACTCTAAGTTGCCATATAGTGGACAAGTTAACTGTTGATAATGTTTGCCTGCAATTCTGTGCACGCAGCATTTATCCGCATCAGAGTAAGTGTCATCTGTATTCTTACAGCTCATTTTAGGAGATAATTATTAAAAGACAATGTTCTTGCAATCAGTACCATCCCTTTGGGATACAGAAATAAATGATAGTTTTCTTTCAGCTGAGAGTGGGTCGGGAGACGCAGTTCAACAAAGTCAGGTGTCGTCCAGCAAGCCTTCCATCCTCGCCAATGACCTGCTAGGACCGCTGCTGCTCGAGGTAGGCACCGCACTGGGGTACAACACTGGGGTACCACACTAGGGTACCACACTGGGGTACCACACTAGGGTACCACACTAGGCTACCACTCTAGGGTACCTCACTAGGGTACCACACCAGGCTACCACACCAGGCTACCACACCAGGGTACCACACCAGGCTACCACACCAGGGTACCACACCAGGGTACCACACCATGGTACCACACCAGGGGACAACACTAGGGTACCACACCAGGGTACCACACTAGGGTACCACACCAGGGTACCACACTAGGGTACAACACTAGGGTACCACACCAGGGTACCACACCAGGGTACCACACCAGGGGACAACACTAGGGTACCACACCAGGGTACCACACTAGGGGACAACACAAGGGTACCACACCAGGGTACCACACTAGGGGACAACACTAGGGGACCATACTAGGGGACAACACCAGGGTACCACACCAGGGTACCACACCAGGGTACCACACTAGGGGACCACACTAGGGGACAACACTAGGGGACAATACTAGGGGACCACACCAGGGTACCACACTAGGGGACAACACTAGGGGACAACACTAGGGGACCACACCAGGGTACCACACCAGGGTACCACACTAGGGGACAACACTAGGGTACCACACCAGGGTACCACACTAGGGGACAACACTAGGGTACCACACCAGGGTACCACACTAGGGGACAACACTAGGGTTCCACACCAGGGGACAACACTAGGGTTCCACACCAGGGGACAGCATTAGTGCTCTACACTAGGGTACCTCACTGGGACAACACTAGGGGACATCATTAGGGCTCCACACTAGGGTTCCAGCGGACAACACTAGGGCCCCACACTATGAGACCACACAAGTTTCTCCCATAAGGACACGCCCTCACTCACTTTATTACAGCACTTTTCATCAATCTCGGGACCCTTTCAAAGTTTAACATAGGGGTTATGTGAAGGACCCCTTGACGTCTATGCTTAATTCTAAACACTGCTATGGATACTTTAACCTTTGAGCAATGTGGTTTTTGCCAGTTGAGCAATCTGTTTTTTGCGATTCGACTCGTGCAAGTTTCTTAGGCTGATTGTACACCAGCAGACTAAATCACGGCTCACACAATCAGCCATTGATTTGCCTGCTGGGTTCATTGACACTTTGCAGGCTGCCATGACATATCTGAAACATTGATATGTTGTGAAACCCTGTATTACTCTCTCATTCATCATGATAATTATCATTGATGATGCCCCATCATCATCATCATCATCGTCATCATTAATGCTTGCAGTTTTGGTATTGCTAGAAGAAATTCTATAACAAACTGAAAGGCATCCCCATGTACTTTCTTTTGAAACATGCTGGGGAATAATGATCAGGGCTATCCACCAGAGCTCCTACAAAAAACTGTGTGAATCCTGCATGTCTGTTCAGGGGCAGTGCCTTGTTACTTGGAGCCTTGGATCATCTGTATTAGGTGCATACATCAACAAAGAGGCACTCCCTTTTTTATAAAGATTTTTGTATTATTCAAAACTAAATAATTAATGTTTCTACCAGCTCCTTATTCTTAACCAGAAAAGAATCAGTGTTTATGATAATGATGTAATTTTACTGATTGTTTACAGTGTGTTGTAGCTGGGATATGACAGTGCTAAATAACAACTGATCTATTTTTGACATCTGAAAAGGAGTTATGCAAAACCTTATCAAAGTTCCATCTTTTTGTTAAAGAAAGTTTAACATTTTTATAAGCTTATTGGGCGGTCGGGTAGCCTAGTGGTTAAAGCGTTAGCTTGTCACGCCGAAGACCCGGGTTCGATTCCCCACATGGGTACAATGTGTGAAGCTCATTTCTGGTGTCCCCCGCCGTGATATTACTGGAATATTGCTAAAAGCGGCATAAAACCACACTCACTCACTCACTCACTATGAGCTTATTGTTGATGAGACAGAGATAAGCATGAGGCTGAGGTGTGACTTACTGCAAGATGGTGTCCTTACTCCTTCACATTGTGGTGTACCTGTCCTGGCTTGAGGAGCATTGGCTCATATACTAGACATTATTCCCAATCTTGCATCAGATGTGTGAAATATATCACCAATTTATAAAAACAATCAAATTTAAATTAAAAACTGGCATGATGTCAAATTTTGTAGATGTGATGTATATTTCACTGATAAAAAAAAGAATTTGTTACAAGAAAAATACTTTGCATGATTGCATTAAATCAATATTTGTGGAAATAATTTTACAATATTGTTTCCCAATGGGACTGTCACTGGCTGGCACTTAATTTACTTACTAATTAAGCTAAACATGATGTTGATATTGATCTGATGTTCATATGACGAACTTAACAGCAGTGACTTGCCTGTTCAACTCTGCAGTTTATTTTAGCAACAATTTTCAGGTAATTGGAAATTACTAAGCAAAACAGTCTGTACTTATCTTCACAAACGTCCTTGTGGGAAGGTGTTTGATCCTACATAGCAATACTTTCAATACTCATGATATATTTGACTTCATATGTCCTTTTCAATGCCAAACAGAGATGATATGTATAGTATTTACAGCCCTTGAACCCTTGTATGGGTTTTTAGCATATCATTTTGTCAGCCTTCCAAACTAAACTATATTTAAGGAATAAACGACAAGTGGGAGTTGTTTATTGTAAATAAAACGATATGATAAACAGCTCCCACTCAGTGTTTATTTCTTATTCAAGAAACCAAAATTATGTACAGCCTCTTTAAGAATGATGATAAAATGTACAAGCTTAAAAAATATTGACCCGTTTTTAAATAATGATGACTCCCTCAATAGAATCCGACCTCGGCATTGTTGGAAAAGTTAATTTTTTGCACAGGTGGGTATTTCCCAGATATTCTCACAGCTCTCACGTCGATTACCTGTACGTTTTCTCCCAATACCAATTGTCATATCTCTCCCATATAGCGTTTATCTGCGTAGCCCAGCTACATCTATGGGGAACAACTCACTAGACACTCAAAACTAAGGTTATCCAATTTTCGATGTCATGAAGTTGCAAGCACATGTTCGAATCTCAAGAAATGACGTCATGAGAGAACAATGTTTTAGTGCGAAAATAAACGACGCTTTGTGTTTTTTTTGTTCTTTGTGATTTATATCATAGCTATCATATATTGCCAGTTAATAACAATATTATCATATTCAAAATTATTTTTAAAAGAAATATTAGTCTTCTTAGTGTATTGTCTCCATATAATGATATGGGAGAAGATACGAAAATTATGCAAAAGTAGGTACAAATAGGGTCTGTTTAATCCTGGTATGGCTGACTTCCTGGAAAATTATGAGGTCGTTATGAAACCGACAAATGTGAAATGTATATATTTTTTAAATTGGACTGTTGAAAAAACATGTGGGTGCTCTAAGGATATATATAGGCCCATAACAATTTTTAATAGTAGTTCAGTGTACTTGATTTTTAGCATTATTTAACAAATACTTTCTTCTTTCATACCCATGATATAAAAACTGCCATAGTGACTTTATTTGTTTTGTATCATTCGTGGCAAATATCTTTTTAAATGTGTGCATATTGACATAAGGTTATATATGTCTTTGATGGATATTTTCTTCAAAAAGCTTCAAAGTTGCACATACATGTAAAAAATGATATTCATCTTCTCTACCTCGCTGATAATGGAAACTTTTTTATGCATATATAGATTTTTTTTTGCCACCTACTTCAATATTTTCCAACCGTAATATTCCCCCTCTAACATGTCTAACTTTCCTAATATATTTCGAAGCTTTAATTCTCTCACTGCAGAAAGATACTTTTCTGGTTCGAGCAAGGTTATGTCTTTAACTGTTGTTTGTAGTAGATATCCAATTTTGATGAAACATGTTAGTGGCACAATCCTTCAACATATTTAATAAACATTTTTGATCTCCAACTCAAACAGACAAATGTGAAAGGTTTATATTTTCAAGTTGTCTTTCCCTCGAAAAAACATTTTGGTTACTCTAAGGATATATGTGATTTTGCTTATTGTCTGAAACTTATTGTCTGAAACTTATTGTCCTTTTCATTTCAGGCTCTTGATGGATTCTTATTTGTTGTGAACAGTCAAGGCAAAGTAGAATTTGTGTCTGAGAACATCACACAGTATTTGAAGTACAACCAGGTAAGATACATTCCCCTGTGAAGTTTAACTGTGTCTTTGTGCTAGTGTAAGTTGTATCTTGCATACAGCATGGAGTATGTGTTAAGACACTCCTCTGTGAAGTATAACAGTGTACATATGCTAGTATATATCACTCTTGACATCACGGAGTATGTGTTAAGACACTCCTCTGTGAAGTATAACAGTGTACATATGCTAGTATATATCACTCTTGACATCACAGAGTATGTGTTAAGACACTCCTCTGTGAAGTATAACAGTGTACATATGCTAGTATATATCACTCTGACATCACAGAGTATGTGTTAAGACACTACTCTGTGAAGTATAACAGAGTACATATGCTAGTATATATCACTCTGACATCACAGAGTATGTGTTAAGACACTCCTCTGTGAAGTATAACAGTGTACATATGCTAGTATATATCACTCTTGACATCAGGGAGTATGTGTTAAGACACTCCTCTGTGAAGTATAACAGTGTACATATGCTAGTAAATATCACTCTGACATCACAGAGTATGTGTTAAGACACTCCTCTGTGAAGTATAACAGTGTACATATGCTAGTATATTCCACTCTGACATCACGGAGTATGTGTTAAGATATTCCACTCTGACATCACAGAGTATGTGTTAAGACGCTCCTCTGTGAAGTATAACAGTGTACATATGCTAGTATATTCCACTCTGACATCACGGAGTATGTGTTAAGATATTCCACTCTGACATCACAGAGTATGTGTTAAGACGCTCCTCTGTGAAGTATAACAGTGTACATATGCTAGTATATTCCACTCTGACATCACAGAGTATGTGTTAAGACACTCCTCTGTGAAGTATAACAGTGTACATATGCTAGTATATTCCACTCTGACATCACGGAGTATGTGTTAAGACACTCCTCTGTGAAGTATAACAGTGTACATATGCTAGTATATATCACTCTTGACATCACGGAGTATATGTTAAGACACTCCTCTGTGAAGTATAACAGAGTACATATGCTGGTATATATCACTCTGACATCACAGAGTATGTGTTAAGACACTCCTCTGTGAAGTATAACAGAGTACATATGCTAGTATATATCACTCTGACATCACAGAGTATGTGTTAAGACACTCCTCTGTGAAGTATAACAGTGTACATATGCTAGTATATATCACTCTGACATCACAGAGTATGTGTTGAGACACTCCTCTGTGAAGTATAACAGTGTACATATGCTAGTATATATCACTCTGACATCACAGAGTATGTGTTAAGACACTCCTCTGTGAAGTATAACAGAGTACATATGCTAGTATATATCACTCTGACATCACAGAGTATGTGTTAAGACACCCCTCTGTGAAGTATAACAGAGTACATATGCTAGTATATATCACTCTGACATCATGGTGTATGTGTTAAGACACCCCTCTGTGAAGTATAACAGAGTACATATGCTAGTATATTCCATTCTGACATCACGGAGTATGTGTTAAGATATTCCACTCTGACATCACAGAGTATATGTTTAGACACCCCTTTGTGAAGTATAACAGCTTACATATGCTAGTACAACTGTAACAGTGCCTGTATGTGCTAGTTAATGACAAAGTGGTAAATATCTGCACTGAATAAGATATTTGTAAGTTCCTAAGATGAGTTTTATGCTTCCAACATCTGGGGAAGAGGAGCATGTTTCACCAACCATGTCCTGCTTTAGCTAATAGGAAAATATAACTATTGATCTGTACACGATCAGGTTCCACCTTGTGCTTTTCATGTCAAGAACACCATTATGAGGACTGGGGTTTAATGACTGGAGTTTTTGTAAAGGAAGTAGCTATGACAAAATTATACATGGCATGGAATGATTGAACAGACATTATTTACCCTGTTTTCTGCTGTCCCCTAATCAAGTTTGATGGTCGTTGTGCACATGGAATTGATTGTTTTGCTGACACAGTGTTTCAGTTCCCTGAAGGGAATGTTGCGCAACATCTGCAACTTTAGCGACTTGTCAGCAATCTGTGTCTAGTAAAATGTCTTTTGAAAGAGCAACATCAGTTTGTCCACATATACTACTCAAAAGAAGTTAAGGAACTCTTGAACCTTTCATATTGCTATAGTTAATCTGTCTTATCATTCAAGGAAAGAATCTTTTATTGAGTAGTATATGTCGACTGAAAAAATGCCAAAACACCAAGTTTGGGCCAGCAGACCCAAATGTTTTTGACACAGACTGTACAAGCCTGCGGTATCTGCATGTGTAGCCTGTAGACGTTCACTTAGTCTGTGCGTAGGTTGATGGTAGGAAAATTGAAGGTCATCAGTCTGTTAGCCTTGAGACTTGTGATTGTTCGGACACTTGTTTTGTCTCCAAGTGTAGTTGTTACACAAACCACTAAAGTACTCACGGAAATGGAAAAAAACCCCTGTTAAATAAATGCAGTTAATATACAAAATATATAAATATTCAAACAAATCAATTAGTACTAACTGGGCCTTGGCACAAATACAGCGTGTCAAAGGTTTTTATGTCTTTTAACATGTAAAAGTGTGTAAAAATATGAACAAAACAGACTATTGTGAAACTGAGCATAACCAGGTGTTAGTAGATCAAGGTGAATGTCCATGACCTATGACACCTTGACGACAGGTGAAAACAGGTGCTTGAAACCCACGTGCATGTGATTTGTCAGTGTTTAGTGATTTGTGAGTGGCATTGTGGGATAGTGAATCATCGTAAAATTTAAGAATGTAAAAGTAACATATTTCTTTCTCAAACAACAACTTACATGTCATTATTATTATGTACATAAACATAGCTGTTATTTTTATTGTTGTTTTGATAACTTTTTTCCAGGCTCATTTGCATAATGCCTATAGCCTGTTTCTGCCATGTCAATTTGGACTTAGTTTTATTTTTGAATGTTGAAAGTGCCTACAAATTACCTGCTGTAAAGTACATTTTGTATTGAGCACTGAGATAAAACTAGCAAATCCAGACTAGTACTTTTCCAGTTGTTTGGTTATTTCGTATTTACATCTACGTAATGCTTTGTGCCGATTATTAAATCCAGCAAAACAGTTTTTTTTCATTTCCATGAGTACTTTAGTCTTACATTATCTGTGGCTAGTTAAAGTTAGCACATAGTGTCTACCCCTGTGGGTTGTATTGTGAGTTGCACGTGTCACAAGCAGGGTACATGGGATATTACGATCTGAATGGGCTTGTACATCACGAGGCAGGACTGAAGCTTAATGGGTATACACGAAGTAAAATCTCGTCCAGCCCTCAAGGGTCACCTGTCACAAATTTGTCATAACAAGTTTACAAGATATATTTTCAATGTGACAATTACGTCTTTATCTGACCGCCATCAAACTTTGAACAATGAAATATGAACAGGATCCATTATGACGTGACATGCAAATGACGTCACATCAAACCCCATGTCATGAAACCCATGCAGGCCGGCCATCCGACTTATACGATTTGTATCTGACAGCTTGGTGTTTTAGAAGTTAGAACAACCAGTTCTTTATTATCTATTCAACTGCTGATTGGGACTTTCCTGTTCTTTCTTGAGAGACAGAAATACCCCTGTCAAAAGTTGTACAGTAAATATTGAGACATGGCTGTTGATTGTCCTCCATCCAAGAAGCGTTCATGAGTCAGACTGCTTGTGAATGTATGTACACAGAATGCTGAGACAGCAAGCCCTTGAACATCTCTCTGCTGGAGAAGAAAACAGCGAGACCATGGGTCACTTGAAGCACTGATCTCTACTATGTTGCTTGCTTAGTTCAGGGAGCTTTTGTATAGCTGTTCTGTTACATATATGGCGCTTTTTCGTTGAATTGAATTGAATTCTAAGGAGAGCATAAATTGCTGTTGCAAAGCTAGAATGTTTTTCAGTTTAAGAATTATGGTTGTGAGTTTCACTGTTGTAGGCGGTGAACAGTTTTCTTTATTTCACTCTAAATCCTTGTAACAAAAACCATTCACACTCTATATATCCATACAAAGACATTTCTATTGGCGTATTTGCTCAACAAGATTACAATTCAAGTAAATTCTGTTAACACAGAGAAAAATTGATTGGTCCCAGTTCGAGCAGTGTATTGAATATCCTTATTCTCTACTGGTGTAAGTCTTCAATAACAAAACGCTCTCACATCGACAGATGCGCTATTCTTTTTTCAAGTTCGCTCAGGCGTGACACGATCTCATTTTCGGTGTTCAGCTCTGGATCACCTGTGTGATGGTGGATTTGTTGTCAAATGTAAACAATAGGCTTAGCTGGTAGGCTGTCCGATTGTCAAGATTCAAATTAGTGCAGCATTCTTTGGCTTGGGAAGGAGGGCTGTGCAGGGATAGTATTTCCTCACTTCCTGTCAAAGATGCTTTGTATCACTGGGCTTGTGGGGCAATGGGATCACTATGTTGGGAGAGTCAGCTAAAGGAGTAGATAAAAAAAAAGATGGACATTAAATCAAAATATATGTGTGTTTTTTTATTGAGGTAATGTTTAATAAATATTTCAATGGATTGAGTCCTATTTAAAACCTTTTTTTAAATCAAATTAAGTTCTGCACCATGACATTGATTGTTTATAGGATTATGAAATATGATTTTCTTTTAAAGATAAATGCATACTGACGACAATTATTATGTGATGTTGAAAGAATTTAGAATATATTAAATGGTGACAATATTTAATATTTCAAACAATACAACCAAACAGGAAAATAAGAAATACATTTCAAATGTCACAGTACTATATTCCACCAGTCATATATTCTTCTGCTTGTGTTTTTTTAAACGGTATTTCATTATAAGAAACTAACAAATTCAAAGAATGTTAAACTGTTGCAGTTTCAGAACTATGCAGTTGTTGCTGCTAATCTCAGAGGTGACCTCCTGTTCGTTATACAGCAGTCCTAGAGCATTGTTTGGCTACAACCTAAATAATACAATGTGCCAGTGCAATACATGCATGGTGTTTCATTGACATGGCATGGGTAGCCCAGTCACCTTTGTCACCACAAGTTGATTGTCAAGAGTTATGTCCCTTAGGATGCTGAATTCGATGATCATGAGTTTTGCCCATCTTATGATTATTGGTTTGTCTGCACCATATCTGAACTCATTGGTTTCACCGAAGTTGTAAATATCTAATGCCTGCTTCACTTTCTCCAACATCTAGTTGCAATATGGTGAAATGTTTGAAGTGGCTTTAAGCCAGATTCATTCCAGGGTGCTAGATATTGCTTGCAGAGTTTGTCCACAATGATGAGTCTGCTGTTCATTAGTTGGTTGGTCAGCACAGTAACCATGCCACAAGTATTTATGAGCAGCATCACTTTGGTCTCAACATTAAGCAGGGGAGAGAATTTTCCACGGATCTGCAGAATTCTGCAGAATTCATTTATGTAAAGGGTCACTTTCATGCCATTACAATATATGCATAAATCAAACCTCCGGCTCACTCTCATCCCTGATTAAACTAACATACAAAAATAAATAGATTTCAAGTGATTCCATTGCACTTGATGTTCCTATAAACAGCCATGCCTATTGGCGGCCAACTGCTTCCAAATTGGCTGATAATTGGGTGGGTGGAGCTTGGGTTGTCACTGTTTTCGTATATAGTTATCTACAGTATTTTTAGTTAATGTGTACGTGAGCAGACTCTAATGTTACTGTGGTTGACTTAATTGTCAGAATTGACTTCAATATGTGTTTGCCTTTATTTTTCAAAGAAGGGGTTACACTGTAAATCCATGTGCCATTGCTGATTTATGCAAAGTGCAGGCACTGTTTTTAACTTTTTTACCTGCACAAACGCATTAACATATTGAAGTCATTTCCATTAAAATTGGAGGAAGAAACCATGAGTCCAAATGGTCAACAGCTTGTTTAAGACAAGTGTTTTGTGTTAAGCATGTTTTGGAAGAGTCTGTTCCTGTATGTTCTGTATGGCCTGATAGACTTCCTTCCTTAGCCACCCCAGTATGCAGTGATGAAACATACTTAGGCTTGATTTGTGAGATAACAGCATGGCGGGTTGGTTTCAGGATGATCTGGTGGGAAAGAGTGTGTACAACATCATCCATGTTGGGGACCATGCCCAGTTCAGCAGCAGTCTCCTGCCCATGTCACTGGGTGAGTACTTGGAGGAGCAACACCCTCACACACACCCTCACACACACCCTCACACACACCCTCACACACATACCACACACACACCCTCACACACATACCACACAGACACCACTCACAATCCACACACATACCACACATACCACACACACAACACATACCACATAGGCACCACTCACAATCCACACACACCACACACACACCACTCACAATCCACACATACCACACACACCACACATACCACATAGGCACCACTCACAATCCACACACACCACACACACACCACTCACACACCACTCACACACCACTCACAATCAACACACACCACAAACTCACCACTCACACACCACTCACAATCCACACACACCACTCACAATTCACACACACACCACTCACAATCCACACACACCACACATACCACACACACACCACTCACAATCCACACATACCACACACACACCACTCACAATCCACACACACCACTCACAATCCACACACACCACACACACACCACTCACAATCCACACACACCACACAGATACCACTCACAATCCACACACACCACACACACACCACTCACAATCCACCCACACCACACACCCACCACTCACAATCCACACACACCACACATACCACACAGACACCACTCACAATCCACACACACCACACATACCACTCACAATCCACACACACCACACACAATCCACACACACCACACACACCACACATACCACACATACCACACAGACACCACTCACAATCCACACACACCACACACACCAAACATGCCACACTCACACACACCACATGCCACATGCCACACTCACACACCTTTTATGATGCACTCACACACACCACATGCCACACTCACACACACCAAACATGCCACACTCACACACCACATGTCACACTCACACACCACATGTCACACTCACACACACCAAACATGCCACACTCACACCACACACACCAAACATGCCACGCTTACACCACACACACCAAACATGCCACACTCACACCACACACACCAAACATGCCACGCTCACACCACACACACCATACATGCTACACTCACACCACACACACCACACATGCCACACTCACACCACACATCATACATGCTACACTCACACATACCATACAGCCACCACACACAGTTAAATTGCCATGGATCTTTATGATTGCCCATGGTGACCCTTATATTGCACTTAGATCCCTGTTGTTGCATGCATAAAATCCCATGAGTAAGTAATGTGTATCACACATTCACAGTAGAACTGTGAAAAGCAACTTCGTCGACGGCCTAACCTTGTAAGCATAACATCACACTTACCTGAAAATGAGCATTGCGTGCAATTGGAATGCTTGAAACTGAATTGCACAAAAAGTTGTTGCTAGGGGTTTTGGTGTTATCGGAACTCCATACAGTCCCTCTGGGGTCAGTACCAAGTGACTGTAACAGATCTGTCGCCCTTCAAACATTCGTGGGATGAAGTGAAACATCGTAGCAAGTTGCATCCCTGGTATCGATATATGACTACTGATGTGATACTTGTAGTCTGTCTCTGTTCCATAATATTTCCCCTTCTACCCAGCCCTTACGGTAATGTGTTCGCATCTTACTGGGACTCATTTTCTATTTAAATGTAGTTGCTTGTTTCTATCAAAACGATATACTGTAAAACGTGAAATTATAGCGAGCGTGAATTAAATGTGAAAAATGCGAGTGGTCTTTGCTCGCATTATTAAACATCGCATTTCTATCAACAATAAGACATTTTGGATAGCAGAAATACCAACTTAGACATACGCTGAAAACAAACTACTAATTACATCCTGTGAATTGTCTCTGCTGGCGTCAAGGCAAGCGTTCTACTCACTCATGTCATCACTGATCACACCTGCAAGTCCAGACAGACGCCACCCAACACGGTGTCTTTGCTCTTTGCGACTGCATCAAAGGCCGACACGAGCGCGTATTGTTTTAGCTGAAGTACTCTACTCAGCGCTAATAAGCGGTGCTATTTGGTGTGTGATTGGATTAATGTAAGGTTGGATTAAGGGGAGGATTCTCCTGTAAACCTGACAGAGGACATTTTGTTTAGATATAAATTCACTGATGCTTGAGAGGAGGGGGTGTTGCATTCATATTGAGTCGCATTTATGGCTAGGGGCCAGCAGTCGCATTCTTTTGGAGACGCATTAATTTCACATTTTACAGTATTCTAGGAGACTAAGAGTCTACGATACTTGTATCATGGCACAGGTTATTGCGATGCACCAAACTGTATTCATGACCTACCGATACCACCAAAATGTCCAGGGCGTAATTTTACCCCTGAGATGTCATTAGAACACTAATATTTAGGTGTGTAAGTTGGAAGAAACACGTGTAAAAGTGCTATGTTTGTGTCAACAGGAAATGGCATAGTGTGGCCTGGAGAGTCCCCAACCAGCAAAGGACGGAATTTCAACTGTAGGATGCTGATAAAGCCTCCAAGTGAGTACTGCCATGAAGACGGGGATTGTACTTGACTATGAATCATGAAGTGTTCGTATAATTAACCAAACGATGACAGTTTGTCATTAGTCATTGTAATCTGTGAAACAACACTTTCGTTGCAGGTGAAGAAGAAGAAGATGATGTAGAAGTGTTGCAAACCTATGTGTCGCAGTATGAAAGTATGCAGATTACAGCCATATTACAACCATATCTGGGGGAAAAGTTCTCAGAATCACGCGGAGAATCAGGTAAAGGGACATAACTCTGGTTTACATTTCATTGATTCACAAACTCTTAGGATTTCTTTCAGCACTTTAGGGCATATCATTTTATTGAAGTTTGACAGTAAAAGTTATAATTGTATGATTTCATAACCGAAATACAACAAAATTTGGAAGAGTGTACTTGACAATATTTTGATGATACCCACAAGTTTTATCTTTGTAGATTATCTGTAATGTTCGTTGCGTATGTGATACGCCTGGATTTTATTTTACTGAGTATTTCTGCATTTCCGATGCGTATTTTACGCAGATACGCAGCTTATCTGGAGCTCTGTGACACATTCATGTCATGCCTCTGTTCATGGACTGCACCAACATGACACATTCATGTCATGCTTCTGTTCATGGACCGCACCAACATGACACATTCATGTCATGCTTCTGTTCATGGACCGCACCAACATGACACATTCATGTCATGCCTCTGTTCATGGACTGCACCAACATGACACATTCATGTCATGCTTCTGTTCATGGACTGCACCAACATGACACATTCATGTCATGCTTCTGTTCATGGACTGCACCAACATGACACATTCATGTCATGCTTCTGTTCATGGACTGCACCAACATAACACATTCATGTCATGCTTCTGTTCAACGAGTGTTGATATAGTTGATATCAAAAGACACAAGGGTGAGATTTTCTTTATCTTCCAACATCATTCTTCCAACTTTTTCGGTTTGAGGACAGTAATAAGCATTGTGTTAAGTGTAAAAAGAACTGGGGCGTGTTGCAAGCCACGAATCGCTTAGAGAAAGCAAATTAATTGCTCATCCTGGAGTTTGCAACAGTTCAAAGTGCTTGCGCAATCTTCCAAAATAGCGGTGCAACTACTGCTTGGTTGCTTTGACATAATGGAGAACAGAATAGAAGAGGCTTGATGACGAGCTGATGAAATTTATGACTACCTTGAACATGTGGAGCAGACTGAGGATGATGGGGTGTTAGCCGCCTTTGCTCATTTCCTCGTTGATCCAGTCAAGAAATTCTTGTTCCGCTGTCAAAGTCAGCGGCCATTTTGAGAAAGAAACAAAACAAAAATTCCTCAAAGTTTCCAATTTGAAAAATATTTATGAAACATTCTCTGATCTGTGAAACTGTGGGTTTATAAATGCAGTATGGAACAAGAGATGTTTAGTTTTAACATCGTACATTTGTTATCTCCCAAACTATTCATAGGTGAGTAAGGATTTGACTATTTTAATCTTTCAATGTCATATATATTATTTTTCAGAAAATCAAACGTGTTTAGTGTGCATTGCTCGCCGTCTTCCTCTAACAGAGAAAGCCAATATGATGATTGGTATTGAGCAGTTTACAACACGACAAGATCTGAATGACAAAATCATAGATAATGATACAAGGTAAGAACCAATGAAGGGGCACTGTGCAATTTATGTTATGGAATTTGTTATGATTTGAAATCCAGATTGCAGATTTAGGTTCGTTTGGGACAATTACTGGTGCCTTACCGTTTGTCACTCCTAAGTAATTCCCAACTATCAGATTGAGCTTTGTGCACAAGTTGTAAACTGAATCTGAAGATTTCATTATTGTATATTTTGTAGTGAAAAAAAGTCGCTGGACCGCCTGGTCTCAATTGCTTTCAGCAGTCTGAGGCACAAGGCGGTGGCATCAGTACCCAGACAGCGGTAGTAGCCGGACACTCATGCAAACATTTATTTATGGTTAATTAGGTAAACTGCTAATACCCAAATTAACAGGCAAGCATAATCCTTTTTCCTCAAGGGCATTTTGAAAAACTGTCTGCTGGGGACAACTCTCTAAACAAACCGTCCAGGACCACCTTTCCACGCCCCTACGTTGTCTTACATTATCGCTAAGCACCGTTGTTTCCGGGTATTTGATTAGTGTATTCCAAACGACTCATTTTAAATGAACTTTAGTGTATGGTAGGACTTTAAGTAAATGTAATGGCATTCCATGAAAGACGAATGACTCGAAAATTCAATAAATAATACAAAATAACCAATGGCCAAATACTACCTTGATGTAAGAAAGTGGGAAGGGAGTACTCAGACATTTGTCTTTTAAATAATCAATTAAAGATCTTCTTCACATTTCAGCATATATGATTTTATTTTTATTGTACATAGTGATCGTTAAATTATATAACTTAAGGCATGATATATAAAAACAGATGGAAATGAAATCTATCATGACGAAATAATTATATTTTGATGTCTACATTTTCTTCAAAAACTTTATAAGTACATTTTAATTTTCGTATTTTTAAAAATATCTATAGAATCTATTCTATTTATTTAGATCTACTGATATATTTTACAGTAATATTTAGGAAGTGAACCAACATGAGTGTAAACCTTTGTATGACCTCAAGAATCTAAAAATGCCAGTTGAACCATTCACCGCTCACGAAATGTCCTCATGAAAGCTTGTGTATCCTATGTTATTCCCCACACTACACACTGTGATAAAATAAAACAAAACATGTCAATGGAATATCAAAAAGATGAACAGGATCAACTTGTCAAAGATTGGGTATGGTCGTGCCATAATAGACTATTTTAATGTTGGTCATATGTCAGGTATATCAAGACAAAGTTGCATCTTACATTGATATAAATTACCTAAACATGGAATGCGGAAGCTGTCATCATGCTAAAAGTATGCAAGTTCAGGCTGAGCTAGACATTATTTGCCTGTTGTTCAGGTAAAATTCTGTTTGGCCTAGTGAGGTCTGCTATTTTTATAGTCCACGTAACACCGCGAAAGTCTGCTGAAAATGATGTTCAGAGCCATGTTCATGCCATTAGACTCAAAGGATTGGACAGATTGTTACAGGTCACTGTCATGTAGCTGGGATATTGCTGAGTGTGGTCTTAGAACAAAAACTACACAAACAGTTCAGTTGAAAATATTGTATTCATCCTTTTTCATAACTGTTCAGGGGGCACGGGGGGCCCAGTCGTCTAAGGCGCCGCGATTCGCTGTGCAGAGTTGCATCCCTTGGGCACGCTAGAAACCTATGATTGTGGGTTCGAATCCCGCTTCTCCCCGATTATGTTTCTAGGTTTGTCAGCACCACACCCGTGCTCGTGGGTTTCACCGAAGTGGTAAATGTCTGAGACCTGCATTACTTGGGGTTTTCCTCCCACATTAAGCTGACACGCCGTGATATAACTGGAATATTGTTAAAAGTGGCGTTAAACCAAACTCACTCACTCATAACTGTTCAGTGTGTACCATCTTGCCATGACAGTCTATGGCCGGAACAATGACGATGTCTTCGTGTTTTCCAGAGGATTAGTAGCCAACTACGGACCTATTGATTTCAAGGGACAAAGTATTCTGGAATACTGTCATGCCAATGATGTTAGTCAACTACGCCGCCATTTACAAGAAGGTGAGTTAATGAAAGTAATAGTACCTACCTGTACATACCCTTTTCTTGCATGATCCTTGTTGTGTTCAAAGCAGTGTTAATCCCAACTCAGTCACTATTTCCATGGGGCTGCGTCTGTGGTCTGTTGGATAGACAATATCATTAAAATCAGATCTTTGTATTCGCTACCACTACACAAAGATCTGAGGACATCCCATTACAACTCCCATCAGGACGACTTTTTAACCGACCAATCAGAGCATCGCTTACCAGATTGCGAAAGTGAAAGTCTGAGGGTGTTTTCTAATCAAGCAACCTCCAAAAGGTTAACACAAGGCATTCTGAACTCTAGTAACTGGCTCTACGACTGATTCTGTCAAAATCACTGTCAATATCTCGCTTCAATAGGATAAACATTTGACTTTCCGTAACCTGTGGGAAGTACTGCCATAAAATTTCTGCCATCGATTGGACATTCAAGAATTTTCATTTTTTTCAGTCTGGAATGGAAGTCGCCAGTTTGAAATTAGTGTCGTAAAGATCGAGAAAGCTGCTTTCTGATTGGCTTATGTTGACATCATTATTCATTTCATTGGTTGGTCAAAGATTTGAAAGGTGACTGACATATACTGTAATGAGATGTCCTCAGATCTTTGTGTTGCAGTAGCGAAGACCTGATTTTACTGATATTGAGAATATTAAGTGTCTGCCTGGATAGTAGGAGGTAGGTGGTTCGATCCTGGCCGAATCATACAAAATAGCCTTAAAAGATGGTACTTGTTGTTGCAATATCTGTTGATCTGCATTAGGGTTGGCTATGAGTCCATGTACTGTCCGTATACTGTGTCATAGTGAGGTATTACTTCATGTTTTCATTGTCTTAGATTGGCTACTTATACCCAAGATGTTGTGTTACAGTGAAGAAGCTGCGGAACCACACCAGTGGAGTGTACCGCTTCAAGCTGCAGGAGAATCGCTACGTGTTTGTGCAGACCAAGAGCAAGCTGTTCGTCATGCCAGTCACCAATGAACCCGACTTTGTCATGTCTACTCACTCCATCATAAGGTGATCAATCAGATTTCTTTGCCAGCTAGGGGCATGGGTATAACTGGAATACTGGCAAAAGCAGTGTTACACCAAACTTACACACTCTTCACTAGCTTCATAAAAGCTTCATGGAAACAGGGTGTTACGACTTGTGTCGTTTATCAAAATGTACAATGTTGCAAGGTTTATGAGATGATATACTGATGGCAGGTCACTGGTCACTCAGCATGTGTCATGTCTTCATTGATGGGGTGGTCTGGATGCCCTTTTAATTCACTGCTTTAGAATTCTGATTGAAATCGTTATTTCCAGCTTTCTCACTGTTCAAATGAAATATTTGAGAAAATGCTTTCTGACATAAAAATTATGTTCTTTGGGATTTCGATGTGTTCACTTCATTAATTTGAAGCAGTTCACTTTAGATTCCTTCTTAACAGTCAGTGTACACCGCCATTGTCAGGCCTTAGGTCCTGGGGGGTGGGGGTGGGGGTGGGGGAGTGGGTGGGTACATGGGTACAATGCTCTGAAGTCCAATTCTGGTGTCCCCCGCCGTGATATTGCTGGAATATTGCTAAAAGCCGCATAAAATCAAACTCACTCACTCACACTTAGGTCCTGGAACAGTGGATATGATGGATTAATTGTGAAAAATGTCACACTTTGATTGACAAACATAACAGTAGTTTCTGATAGGAGTATGGAATATTGTTTGGTGTTTTTCAAGGCCGTTCTTTATTTGCAGAGAGTGTGATTCGGAGGTGGAGCTGAAGGGATCAGCTTCCACCAGTCTGATGAAGTCCATCATTGGTCAGTCCAACATCAACAACCGCGGGGTCGGTGGAACTGGGAGTGGAACTAAAAACCTTGCCAACATCACTGCCACAATTGGCATGAACATGTTGGGAGACATGAACTCAATTATGAACTCCCCACAGTTAAGCTTGGAGGGGCTGGACCTGCTCAACTCCAACACCAACTGGGACCTGCTGGGGACAGATAACCCCATCCAAGGTGAATTTAACATTAATGCTGCTCTTAGTGGCAGTGCAAACATGAACTCGGGGGACTCGTCGTGGGACAATATGACCCAGCTGAAAGTGGGGCAGCCAACCCTGCCTCACCAGTCTCAAGCTGCTGGGATACCCCAGGTACAAGGACTGAGTGCTATGGCAAAGCGACAAGCAACTTTTCAGCAGCAGCGAAGTCAGTCTGTGTCCTTTGATGAGCGCAAGAATCCTCGCTTCTCGCCAAGCCCTGGAAGTAGGGGAACTCCCTACCCGCTACAGTCTCAAAGAAGTGTGCCGAGCATGATGGGGTATGTGAACCAGAGGAGCCCTGTAGCAGCGAGTGTTGGAGCTGCCGTGCCACCTAGTAGGTCCCCCGGGGGACAGTTTACGGCACCCTACCCCCAGCAGCGAAAGACTGTTTCCCCAATGATGTCCCCCCAGCCAGGTGAGAATTAGCAGATCGGCAGGCTTCTTGGGTGTCAATGAATCATTTTGCACAATTTTACTCACTTTAAGTCTTTTGGTATGGTATATTGAAATTTATCTTTATGACAAACAGAAGCTTTAATTTCAATGCAAGTTTTCTTCAAACAAGCACCATCTGCAGTCTGCGACTTTAGCCACTAGTCTGAAGCCCAAACTTTGTAGAAGTTCTTCTGGTCAAGTAAGACCACCAATACTAGTCCATTAACAAAAACTAAAGTATGTTGAAACTAATGCCAAAACAAGTTTTTAGAGTCGAACATCTTTGGCACAGACGGCATGTGGTGGTCTAGGGTTGTCATATTGGTGGCAGTGGTTCAGTCTCTCTCCGCAATCTTTGCACATATTCCGGATGATAACTTCACAAATAAGAATGGATTTGGAAATAGTTTTGTTGATCTACAGCCTCTCATGAAAGAGTTTGAGAGTAATAAACTTTGTCAATATTGGGTAGCTCCAATATCAGTGGGTTAGATTGACACTAACATGCACTTTACTGGAACATTGCCAAATGATGTGTTGCACCTTGCACCTTGCACATAATATCATTCACTTGATTATTTACAGGCTGCTTTCATGCAGCTGGAATATTGAGTGTGGCGTTATACATCAAAGTGGAGCAAACACTCAAGCATTCAGTATGATATCAGGGTTAGAAACTAAGAGGTTTTGTCCACTAGTCCATATAGTGATAACATATAGCAAAACCCTTAAAATTGGCCAATTTCTACTAGTCCTTAGGATATCTTTACTATTGGGCAGTTTGGTAAGGACTATAGGACTAGTGCCAATTTCTAACGCTGGATATTTGGATACCGTATTCGACGTAATTAGCGCCCAGGGCGCTCTCAAAATTAGAAATAGGGGGCTCTTATTAGAATATTATTTTGGTGTAAAAAACAGAGTTGAAAGATAAATTTCGTGGTTTTTACTGACAGCCTGAAATGTTTATATACGAGAGATATATTTTTCCAGAAATTAATTGCCCATAATTAAGGGTGCATATAACACACGAGTGCGTATTATACTCGAATAAATAAATCTTGTCTACATTGATCAAAGGGGTGCTAATTGGGATTGTTCTCTAGCCAATATATTAGCAAATATCGCCGTGGGCGCTTATTAGAGCGGGGCGCTTATTACGTCGAATGCGGTATATGAAGTATACCACTCGAAAGAAGTTTGAAAATACCTGATTCTATATTTCACTAAAGTTAATCTGTAATGGCATCAGATGTTCTTTAACTTCTGTTCAATTCCCGACATGGGTACAATGTGTGAAGCCCATTTCTGGTGTCCCCCGACGTGATAGTGCTGGAATATGGCTAAAAGCAGCGTAAAACCACACTCACTCACTTTAACTTCTGTTGAGTAGTTTATATGAATGAAAACCAAACCTACATGCCCTGGCTGACAGTGACTTTTTATGCAGGTGTCCCTTCCAACCAGACATTATGGTCCCGGTTCTCCTCCCCCTCCATCAGTGGAGAGCTCCAGCCAGTGTCCAGCTCAGTGGCCAACCAGCAGAGCCCTCTACAGGCACTCCAGTCTATGGACTCCCAATCCTCTGTGTCAGACCTTCCAGACCCAGCCCTCAGACTCGGCTCATCCGAGCATATATTCAGCGGAGGTGATATGAACAATGATTCCCGGGGGAACGCACGGGGAGGAAAACTGTGTCGTTTGTTAACCAGTAAAGCTTCGTTTGATCAGTTGACATCCCTGACAAATGAATCTTCTGGCCGAACTTTCCATGAGCGGTCTTTAATGAAATCTAAGTCATCTATGGATATAACCAGACAGTCTCCTCAGCCTGGGCCAGGACAGAGCCCGCCGGAGAAGCCTCAGAGTACGTCGAATGATGATGTGGAGCCGTCTGGTTCACATAGGGCAGACGGCATCGAGAAGAAGGATAACGCAATACTCAAGAAGCTCCTGAGCCAGGAGGAAGACCTCCCTACCATGGATACAGAGATCAGCAGCTCCCCACACACAGGGGGGGCCCAGGGGGACAAGTTCGGCATTGAAATGGACAAGAATGAGGCGGAAGCGAAGAAACCATCCAACATTCTACTCAAGGTAGGACTCAGGGTAAACAAACTATTCACTATCTCTTTCTTTGCCTTTTTTATTAGAATGCTATCAGAGTTTCAAAAGTAAGGCAGATCTCCTAGTTCTAAGACCATTCAGGTTTTTATTCTATATTTAGAATCCAGAACTAGTCCTGTCATCCCAATCCAAATTCATAATGGTTAACATAACCACAGACAGGACTTGTAGTAAATTTGGAAGGTTTTGAAATATATCTAATTGACCCAAATGGGTTAGTTTCTGCTGCTGTTTATCCACACCATGAGAACATTTGTCACAAACAAATGCTATCCTATGGCAGATTAGTTGAGTTGAACCTTACTTTTGAATTTTGAAGCCTTGCTTATGATTTGGTGACGCATGTGTTGGTACATGGTGACCTTAATAAATAAAGGGAGCAGTTGAAAAGTTTAATCCTTTCACACACCCACCCCCATCCCCCCTTACTTATTAAAAAATCATACTACCTAATCATACTTGATGAGAACATATCATAGCCTAATTTGTGTGACAATGCAAACACTCAAGAGAAGATTCTTAAACTGGCATAATCACTCATGTTATTCAGTTCATTTTGTCGGATGTAAAATTTGCAGACCTTTTAACCCCATCCACAAACTTAAGGAATTAAGATTTTTGACTTACTCCCTTAATGTATCCTGGTTCTTCGGCCTTGTTCCTGGAAAGCTAGCTTTTTCACAATACCATCCAAATACCTGGTTATAATTGCTCCCCACAAACCAATGCTGGTCGTAAGGGTTGACTTTGTCACAATATCGATTGTCTGGTCCAAACATGGTTGTATACAGGCTGCTGTAACATGGCTGGAATACTGCAGAGTGCGGTGTTAAACAACACAGAAACACAATACCAGCAAAGAATACTTCTTGATGCCCTCTGCAGCAACGTTTTCGAGCCAGTGCCCAAGAACCAGGAGTTAATATTTTCAGCCAGAACTGTACTGTTGTATCTGCTTCTAGTTGTTGCTGCTTTCTCATCACAGAGAGAAAACAAATTCAGCTGAATATGAGAAAGCTATGCATGACACCAGTGAACAGGGTCATTGTTTAGACTGACACTAGGGTTTTACGGGACGCAGAATGCGTGCCCAGAACTCATATATATATAAAATTGATGCAGAAAATAATATATATTGTGTCCTGAGGGATGCACAATAATATTTATTCTGGACAAGAAATATAAAGATCCTTTAATTAGGGTAATTATCAAATCTTACAATACAGTACTCAACACCATTTCATTACTTTACAGGGCCCTCATATTTTCTGCAAGGACCCTTGAAATTAGTAATTGGGGGTTCAGGGGACCCCTGGTTTTGCAACATAGTTTTGTTACTCTTTTTCACATGAAATTGTATTTTGTGAAGGTCTGGAGTTCGATCCCCGGCCATGTCATACCAAAAGACGTTAAAAGATGGTACTTGTTGCTGCCTTGCCTGGCGCTTGACCCTTGAAATTAGTAATTGGGGTCCAGGGGACCCCTAGTTTTGTAGGTCAAGGTAAAACCCTGCTTTACACCATCTGCTATGTTTATTGACTGGTATGAAGTCTATTTATAGTGTTGCATCTGTCCATTCGTGACACTACACTCATATTTTCGGCTGTAGTGGAAATAGAAACTAAGCGATAAATTATCAAACTGAATTTTGGAATCACATGACTGTTACGTACTGAAGACAATTCCTATTGACAGGTTTTGGTGTCCTGATCAGAAAATCTTAACAAGATATTAATTTTAATTTGTCCAGGTTGGCAGCTAGGGAAATACAGTGTTGTTTTTTCATGATGGTGCTTAGTGACATAATGGAAAACACTCGGTTCCATGTGGCCCAGGATATAGTACAGGGTTGGAAAGTTCTTGTATTAAGTACTAAAGTAGACTGCCAATGGCGTGTTGAAGATTGTTGAAGCATAGTTAAGATAAGTTAATGTAGCCTGATGGACATGCATACTTAGAAATAATACTTTTTGAGAAAAATACATTTTGATGTGGTGTATATTATGCACAAAACCAGTGTTGAATTGTCTTTTGCCAAAGGCTTCGGACAAAATGTGCAGTGAACATGTGAACACACTCAATTCTCAATATGGGTCCTGGAGTAAACCTAGGTATTTTTTATTGACTAGGTTGTTATCAATCTCATTGACAAGGAATGCAGGTAAAGTTTCAAAATTAAAACTGCTCATAGTGAAATGTCAGCCACTGAGTATGAAGAGTAATTAAGTGTTTCCCTCATGGCACAATTAAATTCCAATGGACACTTAAACCTCTTTGTCATACATGGGAAAAGATGATATATTTGTGTCCCTGTTTCCTGATTTGCTAAACTCTGTGATGATCTGGTGCTCTGCTGCCTCTGACTAGTCTAAGGCCTACAGTCACTGTAAACCTACACATGAGAGTCATGGCAGGCTCTCATTGATTCTGGACCAGTATTTGATGCTTGTCAAAGGATCCAACTGATATGTGGATTGACTAGTCAAGCTCTCCTGCTTGAATGTGTATCATCGCACCCCAAAAGCGTGGATCGATGCTCATACTTTCAGTCACTGGTTTGCATCGTCCAGACTCGAATATTCACAGGCTGCTGTGCAGTAGCTGGAATCTTCCTGGCTGTGGCAGTAAACAACATTCACTGACTGAGCTGCGGCAGTCATAGCCTCAGTATCTTTTGGAACCTGGACCTCTTGGGCTTGCCTTTTGGGTTCTGTCTCCATCTTAACACCACCTAAACCTGTAACTAATCTGTGTTGACAGCAACTATTGAGTGATGACAAGAACAGTGATTCATCCAACAAGAGCCTCCAATCGGTGTTACAGCGCGAGCTGAACTCCCCAGTCGATGAAGTTGGGCTTGATGGGGACGGGAAGCGGCAGACCTCGGAGCTGCTGCAGAAGCTGCTCCAGGAGGATGAAGATGAGAGTTGCACATCTGCTCCAGCTGTGAGTGTTCTCAAGGGAAAGTTTTGACATGGCCTTAGACATACAGGGTGTTTTAGAGAAAAAAATTCTTGTTATCCCCCTCCATCAAGTGGGGCATTGGATAAGGGAATGGAGTTTGTCCGTCCGTTTGCTTCTCAATGTAGAAAAATTTTCTCAAAAACTATTCATGTTAGAGAACTGAAATTTTGCACACTGATGTTAATGGACATGATCTCATTCTGTGTGAAATGGGGACGGGTTTTTTCAGAAACTGTTGAAGTTATATGAACGAAAGTTTGCATGCTTATCTGAGAGAAATTTGTCAAGACTGAGTTAAAAAACTGGTCCCTGTCAATTATTTCTTTACAGAGTTATGGCCCTTTATCCATGTTATTTTGACTTGGTGCAAAGTGTCTGCATTGGTTACAAATTATCTCAGAAACTACTGAAGTTAGCTTATCTAGGAGATACTTATCAAGAGTTATTTTTTCCAGAGAAGGTGGCTTTTGTGTATTTAATTTCACTTTTATTCATTTTTTCTGACGACATAAAGCAGCCCAAGTGCCTATCTCTCAAAAGACTTTATAGGACTCTTTTTTATAGTTCTTATTCACTACTATATGAACAACTCATTTCTAATGTGATAGTGATAATGCTGTTCTCTTGTTTGTTCTTGTCTTGTCTTGCTAGTAACCTGGTTGTTTGTTTGTTTGTTTGTTGTTTAACTCCGCACTCAGCAATATTCCAGCTATATGACGGCGGTCTGTAAATAATCAAGTCTGGACCAGACAATCCAGTGATTAATATCATGAGCATTGGGATCAATGACATGCATCAACCAAGTCAGCAAGCCTAACCGACCGATCCCGTTAGTCGCCTTTTACGACAAGCATAGTCGCCTTTTACGGCAAGTATGGGTTGCTGAAGACCTATTCTATCCCGGAATCTTCACGGGCCCTAGTAACCTGGAGATTGTTATGGCAAAATAAGCTAGAATACCTGTAATCTAGTTGGAGTGTGGTTCCCATTACTGAGTGCCGGGGGCGGTCGGGTAGCCTAGTGGTTAAAGCGTTCGCTCGTCACGCCGAAGACCCGGGTTCGATTCCCAACTTGGGTACAATGTGTGAAGCCAATATCTGGTGTACCCGCTGTGATATTGCTGGAATATTGCTAAAAGCGGCGTAAAACCAAAACTCACTCACTCACTCACTCACTCACTGAGTGCCGCTGAAATGATGACACTCGGTAATTTGATGTCATCATACTCTGGGGATGAGGATCTTGACGGGATTATTACAGGTCATGTGTGATGTAGAGAGAAACTGCTGGGCGTATCAGTGTCCTATACGGAAGCACAAAGTAAACACCTTGACTGAAAACAAAAGATTTTGTACAATAAATTTATGATTTTTCTTCTATCATTTGCCATGTAAAGTTTCAATTGAGATATAGCTGATTTCAGGCCAGAGTACTGTGAATGGTCACATGATGCGACTTAAAAGAAAAATGTTTTGGTGTTTATACAAAGATGCCAGCCATTAAGATTTTGGCATAATAGTTAGAATATTTAGCTTAAATTATGTTATTATTCTTGTCCTCCAAAAAATGATATTTGGGGGGTTATTTTTCATGAATTATTTAAAATATAACCAATGCACCTGTGACATGATGTGTTCTACAGTGAGACTGCTCACCAATGAGCATGTACACTTCATGTACACTTCAGAATCACTTCAGAACGTGAAACACCACATTGTCTGTCTGAAAAACAGTTATATACATTTCACTTTGTCTAGGACTATAGAAAATGTGGAAGCTAAAAGTTGCAACATTGTACTGTTAACGTTACTCTTTTTCACATGAAATTGTATTTTGCCCCACTGATGACTCCAAAGCTTCAGTTAGGGTTGGTATCTCTGTTAATACCTGACTGCCTCTGTGGTCTAGTGGTAGAGCGTCTGCCCAGAGAGCGGAAGGTCTGGGGTTCGATCCCCAGCCGTGTCATACAAAAAGACGTTAAAAGATGGTACATGTTGCTGCCTTGCCTGGCGCTCAGCATTAAGGGCCTAAAACAAGGACTCTTGTTGGCTCAGAGTCAGTAAACTGTGTCTGAGTGGGTTATCCATGTTAAAACTGCAGCATGTTATCTCAGTTGGCTAGCACTATTAAATCGGCATTAGTCCGGACTATTACAAGCACAGTAGCACACACACGCACACGCTTGCATGCACGTTGCTATGTAAGTGCAATAATCTTGAACCAGACGTTAAACCCAATTTCACCTCCCCACCTCACCTGTTAGTACCATAAATAGATGTCTGTTGAAGTTGTTAACTCTCTATACACTTTTAAACATTGTTAACATTATCCTTAGCTCTAGGTACCACTATAACATGAGCATCAATACTTGTTCTATTGTGTTCTTAGGAAAGTACTATACAGGACCAGGAGGTAGGAAGTGGGTCAAGGTCGCGGCATCAGTCAGGTCAACAGGAGCCGCAGTCATCGGGCTTTAGTCAGCCAGTCACACCACAGAGTGCTGCCAGCTTCTCGGATGCCTCACAGTTTGACATGCTCAAAGATGTATTTTCTGAACCTGCAAAGAAGAATGTTGAACAGAGTGGTCTCATGCAGAACAAGAATCTGGATAATTTTCTCACAAAGTTGTGGGAGAAAGGTGACAAAAGTTCTGAGAAGGCCGGTGATGTGAGGATACGACAAAAGAAACGTAAATCCTCTAGTTCTGATGTGGACAGTACGGAAGTGTTAGAAAGTGATTCTAGTGTGTCGCCTGGGCACCAGAGCCGCCTCTCACAGAGGAATGCCCTGTTGGCCCAGCTGTTGTCAAAGAAGGCAGCCAAAGAGACTGTCGTGAACACCCAGCTAACTGTGAACCCCACAGCACTGCCTCAGCAGAGAATCCCAAAAAACATCACAGACAAATTCATACAAATCCGCTCCAACAGCCAGGAGCTGCGTCAACATCCAACCGACACAGGAGTGGACAAAGAGAGCAGTCTGACTCCCAATCCACGGGACAATCCTCGCACAAACCCAAATGCACCCTTCCCAGGCAACACAAAGCCTGATGGTGCCATTGGAGGGGTTGAAAACTCGGGACAAATGAACCCCGGCGTCCCACCTCCTCACAACATGGATTCTGACAGTGCCAACAGCTTTGACAATTTCCAGCATCTGTGGGCCTTATCCCAGGCCAACGAGTCAGTGAGTATGGAGATTGAAGCCAACGGTGGAGATAGTTCTGATCCACTGCTTCAGCAGATACTCCAGCAAGCAGCAGATCTTCAGCACGAACTGACCTCCGGCAACCTAAACCAGGCCGTGACGACAGCAGCATCCCTCTCCCAGACCCAAACACCAGTATCCTCCCATGCTGTTGTCCACATGTCAACACTATCAACATCTACCCAGGTAACTGCATCAATTACTCAGCAGCAGCAATCAACGTCTAATGCCGAGGAAGTGAATATGATGCAGGAAGTGGAGCAACTGATGGATCCTTGGGAAGAAATAGATAACATTCTAGGTATTAACTCGCAGTCCAACAACCAGCAGATTGGTCCAACATCGGTCACTGAGCAAATGGCAATTGATGCCATTCAGCGACAACTCATGAGTGAGGAACCAGTGCAGACTCCCAATTCTGTCTCTACTGGCAATCATATACGTAACGCCAACCCCAGTATATTTCTCGGGGCCGCTAGCCAAGCTTCAAGCACTAAAGCAGGACAGGTGCCCTCTCGCCCAACTCTCGCCCAGTTACAAATGGCTCGCAGCCTACAACAACAGCAGGCTGGGGGACTGGGTCAGGTCACAGTGTTGGATGCAGCATTCACACAGCAACTACTTCAACAACAACAACAACAACAACAACAACAACAACAGCAACAACAGCAAATGCAGCCACTTCAGCCCCAAGGAGCAATGGCCCAATCCATGCCAGGGCAGATGGGGCCACGTTTCCCTCAGCCTCAAGGTGAGAGCTCTCTCTCTTCTTCCTCCCTTCTTACGTCCTTGAAGTCACTTCTTAGCATGTCAAATTGAGGTAACATAGGAAAGTGTATTTGCTCCTCATGGCAAAAGTCAGACACCTTTACTTCCATGTTCAGTGATGATGTAGCTGTTGCATGGCTATGTCCTTTAGTGCTAGGATCCTTGGGTTGTGGCTTCAAAACAGATTTCCCTGATCAGGGCCCCGTTCCACAAAGGGACCATAGTGCTACGACTATCTTAAGCCTATATTAAAGTATGGGAATGACAGTCATCTTAGCAACTGTCCTCTCGTTTGCTATGACTGAAGGGGCGATCGGGTAGCCTAGTGGTTAAAGCGTTTGCTCCTCACGCCGAAGACCCGGGTTTGATTCCCGACATGGGTACAATGTGTGAAGCCCATTTGTGGTGTCCCCTGCCGTGATATTGCTGGAATATTGCTAAAAGCGGCGTAAAACCTCACTCACTCACTGCTATGACTGAAGTATTACACCAGTATTACACCAGATGATCCCATAGGACTAGTATAAACCTTATTGCACTAGTCCTCAGAGTTTGTAGCTAGTCCTGCTTGAATGAGAAAAAAATGTTCACTATGTTTACATTTTTTGTCAGTTTTAATCAGTTCCAATTTGGAGCAAAATTGAAGCATTGAGAACTGGTTCAGAGTTATACCCCTCAAATGCTACTAGTACTAGTCAATGAGGACTACCATCACTGGATTTTTGCTTGTCCTCAGCACAATTTAGTAGTCGTGGACTAGCATGAATTTCCAAGGCTGATAAACTCAGAAATCAAACCCCTGTGAAGTGTTTGACTTATAGGAATTGCTACCTGGACATTATTATGAATAATACATGATCTTATGCTCAGATGAGAAGGCTGGGGGTTGCACTCAGTATAAAAATACAAACTATTATTCTTAGCATTGACATGATAATATTTTCACCAAGGCCTTCACAGTCCCAGAATCAGACAGATCCTGAAGTGACAAAGTTTATGTATATCAAATGGGCTTGAATTTCAAGAAAATCTACAAATAAACATTGCATTATTTTACTTGACATTTACAAAATAGAAATAAAAAAACAACTAATGCATGAGTTCATAAAACAAAGGTGTTTGAGAAATAATTGCAGCATTTATGCAGTATATTGTAATATTTGTAGGAGATCTAATCAGATTGTAGAGTATTTCACTGACACCATTCTCCACTGTGCAGCTCCAATAAGTCCACTTGCCAGTGCCTTGCAAGGCCAGTCCCCACAGCGCCCTATGTTCCGGGGCATAAACCAGACGTCAACAGCCATACAGGTCCGCCAAACGCTGTTGCAACAGCAGAAGCTGAAGCAGATGGAGAAACAGCGACTTCGGCAGGCACAGGAACGACAGCGGCTGTTACAGCAACAGCGACTAATCGCGTTGCAACATCAGCAGCAGCAGAAGTTTGGGCAGTTCCCGCAGGTAGGTTCAGCTTAGTGTGACTGCTCGGACAGAGTCTAATCTTGTAATCTGAAGATTCTAAAAACTCTCATTAAAAATAGATCCTGTCCCATTGATGTTTTGTAAGATCACAGCGTAAAGTTGAACATAGATGTGTTTTTATATTCAGTTACAGTTCTTAATTTCCAAAGTAGTGTTAAAGAAAATGTAGACATGTAAACCTTTCTGTCCGTGACTTCATGGCTATTGTATGCTGCCCATCTTTTATTGTGTGCTTGCCCGTTTCCCTCATATGTGGCCCAGGAATGGCTTTGTTTGTGGTGTTGGTGATAGTTTGTGGATGTGTATGTTTACCTTTAGTTTCAAATTCACCTGGTGTAGTGTACATCATGATCTGAAGGAACATATGACAAGCCCGGCCACCTCAAGCTTTGTAGATACTCTGGAATTCATTTCGTTCAAAATGAAACAAAATCATGCTTTATGTTCAAACCAAGTAGGCTTTGATTTCTGACAGTTTCACTTTGTGTGAGCTTTGCATGGGGTAGTTCTTCCGACTGTTACTCCACAGACATTTGTAATTCTCAAACACTATGTGACACTCCGACCGTTTTGTTTCCGTAGGGAAATATGGGAGTAGATGGCCACTTCCCTGAAAACCTTGGTGAGCTAATGAACTCAGGCCACGCCCCAAATGTTACCTTACCTGTGCAGGTATGTGATCCTAGACGCTCGCCTTTAGTAGGTCAGCTACGGTTAGTCCAGTCACGTCAGTTAACATGTGCAGTATTGCCAGCCCAGGTGAACTTGAAATATCTGTACATATTCATATATATTGTGAACCAAAAATGACTACGACTTGAACATCGAAGATCTGTCACTATTCAGGTTGTTGTTAATGTTTTCTTTCAAGTTGGTGTTTATTTTAAGTTTGTGTTGAAACTTGTGATGAAGTTCCGGAAGATGTGTTGTGTCTAGATGGTGTGGAGTATTCATGCATGGGTTATTGTCTTGCAGCGGGGCCAGGCCATGCCAGGACCCATGTCGCCCCGGTACAACCCTGGCAGCATGCCGGCGGGGAACCAACCAGTAAGTCCCATGATGCCTCCTTCAACGCCACCCTCCCAACTGTCCCCCCACTTCGGACAACAGCAGCAGTGGAGCCTTCACCCACAGCAGTCCAGTGCATTGCAGGGAGGACTGGGACAGGTTGGCTTTCCTTATGGTCTAGTTGATAGTCAGTGTATATAAGCAGTCACGCCATGCTTGCCTTTTGGACTTATTTACTGGAAATTACCTTGAAAAGAAAAGAAAGAAACAAAATGTAATTCAGATGTGTTTAGTTTTATCCACCACAATTCTTTTCCTTTACATTACTACACGAAAATCTTGTTCGTTTCTTTATCAAACATTGATGCAAAATCATTAATAGTGGGTCCTTGTTTAGGATTTATTTTTGTGCAATATGCTATCAGGTTATTGGCTATCAGGTTTTTCCCATTTCAACTTAATTTATAGTCGGCAAATCTGTAACGCAAGTATAAAAAAGTGTCGCCTCGCGTGTCATTTGACAGAAACACATATTGTCTCCCAAGTCAGGTCTGTTTATTTGCAGTATTGACTTGAGTTACTGAAAATAGAATGGGAATTACCCAGAAGTTGTATTCCCCATATCTTAGCCAATCAGATGTCTCCGTTTGTTGGAACCTCCTAATGGTATTGTAGCTAACATAGTTTGATATTTTGAATATGCATGGTTCTCCTTGTATAATAAATAAGTATAGACTTTAGCAATGTCGACTGTCCGAGTTCGATGTCGCTTTAAGGGGGATCCATGAAAACAGGTATTGAACACATGCAAGTCTATCTTTTCTGTGTACCCAAACCAAGACATTTAAATATCTGTCTGAGCTATAGAATTATTGCGAGAACAACGACTTATAGGATGAATGGATGCTCACACACAACCTGCATGAGTAATACTTCCACAATGTTGCATTTCATCACTGATCAAGACAACAAAAACATTGAAATATTTGATCCACGGTCACCCACTTTTCAATCAGGAAAACATGCCCCAGACTACGACAATTTGTCAAAGTTCAGTGTCCACTTGATCAGATGCCCTAGCCGATGATAATCATTTCACTGTGGAGTTAGTGTTTCCCTAATATTAATCTGAACCAAGGACAAATGCGAAACACTGCATGGCCATAGATCTCTGTTCAAATTCTTACAATATCATTCATTGGAAAATCCCCTTGAAGATCCAGGTTAGAATTGATCTTCAGCAACCCATACTTGTCTTAAGAGGCGACAAATGGGATGGGTGGTCAGACCCGGTGACATGGTTGATACATGTCATCGTATCCAGATTGCGTGGATCAATGCTCATGATGTCATTCACTGGATTGTCTGGTCCAGACTTGGATTATGTACAGACCACCGTCATGTAGCTGGGATATTGCTGACAGTGGTGTTAATCAAACAACAAACAAACATATGGGGAACAGTGAACTAACCATGTGTTTGTTGATGCCAGGGATCCCAGTTCCCAGCCCTCCAACGTCACAGATCTCTCTCTGGAAACATGCCGAGTCCAGGAGGTCAGAGTTCACCTCGGTTCCAGTTCCCGGAGAATCAATTCCCAGCTGGCCAGCAGGGGGGACAACTCGGTATGTTCCCGGGAGGTGGCCAGCAGGGGGCAGCACAACAGCAGCAGGGAGGACCTCAACAAATGTTTGCTCAGAATAGACTCATGCAGAGACAGATGAGTTTGCCACCAGGTGAGATATTGTTTAGTACATCAGGCTGCTGTAAATAACAACTCTACACACTCGCTCTATTGTTGGTCAGTATTGTTGGTCATAGGTGTTTGTATCTGAATCACCAGGTGTTCATGTGCACATGCATAGATATTCAAACAGATGAAGGGTTAGGCAGAGAAGTTGCTTCTCTGCCAGTGTGTAAAATGGTTACTAAACTTGACCTTGAGCTTCCAGATAGATGAACACTCCAGTATGTGCATTGTTCACCTCGGTGTACAATTGTGCACGTTATCAAGTGTTAATCTAACTTGAGCCTCAAGGTCATTGGCTTGACTTTATCCATACTGATGTTGACAATATTGTGAAGCAAATTATTACCACTGTACAGGCAATAAGAAAGTTTGTGGTCTTGTGGTCCTGGTGTTCACTTGTTTAACATGAGGCCCAGGTTCAGAGCCCAGCATGGTGAATAGTTGTAAGTTGATGTCCTCTGCTGTGAAATGGCAGGCAAACTGTTGGGGAGGATAAGACCCAACATACTTATGCATGGTGTTCAAGACGTGTCATTTATTTCATCCACAAAGACACTCGGACAGTGAGATCCTGTTAGTCCTGAAAACCTGCTGTTAAGACAAGGACTGGGGGAACTTCTATTTTGAAGCTGACTGTCACTTGTTTGGCTCATTTTAACAGCTAAAAACTGGTTACAGCATCACTGAAGTGTCATTAGACAATGTTCATGCATTGATGATTTCTCCCCTTCCCTCCACAAACAGACCAGCCACTGGTTGCAGTGAGCCTGTATGTGCTGTTATTGATCAGCTGGTGGATATTGTGGGGCATATTATCTCAGCTTGTTAGGTAACACTATGGCCCTGCCTCATCAGGTCATGGCTGAACTTTTAACCTCATTCCCGGGCGTCACCATAACATAACTTGCTGTTGTTCGACACTCTCCCTGGAGCTGGGTGCTGCAACATTGTAGATACACACTTTACAATGCCTTGTGCCAGAGGTAATGTCATTTCATAATTTTGAAAGGTGTTTGATTTTAATTCCAGTTCCTGGTGTGATGTAATGTAATCTGTAACAATTCAAGATCAACACAAATGTCATCTTTGTTTCTCAATTGAAAGATGATTAATATTTAGTGTGATATCAGTGTGTTCATTCCATCTAGGTGTCTGAGGTCATGCTAGTCCTTGATATGTCTGGAGAGAAACTGCTTGCCATCACTTTCCCTTTTGTTATATTAGATAGTAAGTAGGCCATGTTAAACCGTGGAGGATGTCATTTAGAATGTAATGCCCGGTGGTGTGTGGAGCTGAATTATGAAAGGTCCTCTGCACTCTGTTCCTCATCTTAAGAGTTGACAAAGTTTGATTGGGTCATGCTCTGATGAGTGTGTCAATATGTCCCGGCTTCGGATGTTGCTAATCACTGGTTTGTCTGGCCCACACTCAGCTGTGAAGGTACCCGTTTATCGGTAATTACCAGCATTTTACAGCTAAAATTAGGCTTGGGCCGGTACGTCATGTGACTGCCAGTCCCTGTGGACAGGCAAATAAAGTTACCTTATATATCTTTGTTTTCTTGAACAAAAAGTCAATAATCAATAAACTATATTGTTGGAATGAAGTCAGCTTGTCTGTTATCATCAGAGTTTCCTGTTGTCTGTTTTTGTGCAAGGAAATTTATTTGGAAACTTACTGTTGAATCAAAGTGAAATGTTGAACATGATGTTGAGAAAAGTACAAGCAGGTCAATTTCATACATGTTTATATTTCTTCGAAGTTGGGACTGACAAAAAATGGAGGGGACTGGTAATTTTGCGAGTTGCCAGTTTACTGGGACTGGCAGTTTCAAAAGCCAGCGGTGATGTGTCACACCACCCATTGTTCCAACCACTTCTGGCCAAGACTCAGTTATGTACAGGCCACTGCAATATAGATAGATTCATGTGTGACAGCACCCTTTTCTCCAACTACTGGCTTGTCTGGCCACTGTTATATAGCTAGATCATGTAGACCGATGTGTGACAGCACCCTTTGCTAGAACCACTGGCTTGTCTGGCCACTGTTATATAGCTAGATCATGTAGACCGATGTGTGACAGCACCCTTTGCTAGAACCACTGGCTTGTCTGGCCACTGTTATATAGCTAGATCATGTAGACCAATGTGTGACAGCACCCTTTGCTAGAACCACTGGCTTGTCTGGCCACTGTTATATAGCTAGATCATGTAGACCGATGTGTCACAGCACCCTTTGCTAGAACCACTGGCTTGTCTGGCCACTGTTATATAGCTAGATCATGTAGACCGATGTGTGACAGCACCCTTTGCTAGAACCACTGGCTTGTCTGGCCACTGTTATATAGCTAGATCATGTAGACCGATGTGTGACAGCACCCTTTGCTAGAACCACTGGCTTGTCTGGCCACTGTTATATAGCTAGATCATGTTGACTGATGTGTCACAGCACCCTTTGCTAGAACCACTGGCTTGTCTGGCCGCTGTTATATAGGTAGATCATGTAGACCGATGTGTGACAGCACCCTTTGCTAGAACCACTGGCTTGTCTGGCCACTGTTATATAGCTAGATCATGTAGACCAATGTGTGACAGCACCCTTTGCTAGAACCACTGGCTTGTCTGGCCACTGTTATATAGCTAGATCATGTAGACCAATGTGTCACAGCACCCTTTGCTAGAACCACTGGCTTGTCTGGCCACTGTTATATAGCTAGATCATGTAGACCAATGTGTGACAGCACCCTTTGCTAGAACCACTGGCTTGTCTGGCCACTGTTATATAGCTAGATCATGTAGACCGATGTGTCACAGCACCCTTTGCTAGAACCACTGGCTTGTCTGGCCACTGTTATATAGCTAGATCATGTAGACCGATGTGTGACAGCACCCTTTGCTAGAACCACTGGCTTGTCTGGCCACTGTTATATAGCTAGATCATGTAGACCGATGTGTGACAGCACCCTTTGCTAGAACCACTGGCTTCTCTGGCCACTGTTATATAGCTAGATCATGTAGACCGATGTGTGACAGCACCCTTTGCTAGAACCACTGGCTTGTCTGGCCACTGTAATATAGCTATATCATGTTGGCCAATGTGTGACAGCACCCTTTGCTCCAACTACTGGTACGTCATGTCCACACATGACAGGTTGCATAGATGAGTTATTGCTGACTACTTTGCAGATTCCCACGACTCATTCAAAATCTGAATATAGTTTCATTCCTCCCTGATTGTGTGGTGAAACTTGTTTTCAGTTTGGTATCGTTACATTGGTATTGGATATTATGGTAAATATGTTAACGATTTCATGTTTATTTTGGCGGATGTTGAATTTACCCTTCTCTTTTCTGTTAGTGACAGTTGTCAAAGATTTGAAATTGTTTGACTATCTTCATTTGAATATCAACATGATATTTTATATTTATTATCTTTGTTCTTTTTAAAATTATCCCTTCGTATTTGCATAGTTTTCAAATAGTTTAATGTGTTTTTGTTGTTGTTTTGAGGAACCTTGATAGATACTGACACATTCCATGGTTTGGGTATAGTGCATCTTTCCTGTGAAATAGTGTCATTACCAATATTCACCCCCAGTTAGTACATATAGTAGCACTCTGAGGCAGAAAAAGTCGCTTGTAGTCCATGCTTGTTACAACGACAATGATGTTCAGGCATTTACAAATGTGACCTGATTGTATGGATGTCATTGTATCCTGTCAGCCATTTTGACAACATTGGTGGATATAGTTTTTAGGAAACGGAGGGGGGGAGGGTTGAAAATTTTACATAAGAGTTCTCTGTGGTAGTCATGTTAATATGTTAAAAAAATATCTCCAATTGAAGTTAACATACAAGACACATTCAGTAGTCATGCTATGTTGAAAACATATTGCCAGTTTAAGTTTACACTAAAGATGCAAATACTGGTCATGTTATGTTGAAAGGATGTAACCAATTTACATACAAGATACATTTTGCAGTTATACATTATTTGGTTATGTTGAAAATATATTGTCATATGGGTTAGTTATTGTGTTGGGTTACACTTATGTTCTGGATCACTTCCAAAGATATTTATACTTTCTTAGCTTCCATACTTTAACATAGACTTAGAGCTAAAGATGGTCTTACCTTCCATACTTTAACATGGACTTAGAGCTAAAGATGGTCTTACCTTCCATACTTTAACATAGACTTAGAGCTAAAGATGGTCTTACCTTCCATAATTTAACATAGACTTTTAATAGCTGCAGTGCTAAGATGGTCATAACTCCCATACATTTGCATAGACTTATGGTAGTCGTAATACCAGGACAGCTTGTGTATTTGGGCCAAGACAAGTGAACAGCTGGTGTGTTTTCCATTTTTTTAGTACCCCTATACGGTAATTCATGACATTTTACCATGTCTACCCTTGGAATCAAATTTGTTACAATATTTTTGACTATACGTTCAACATTTTCCTTGGTGACTAACAGACTTATTTACATTTGTAACATAATTTTTGTTTGTTACTTTGTGATCGTCCTCTGTTTCATATTGCATCAAATAAGACAGTAGATACCAGTTGTACTCAGTAGATTTCACCAAGAACAAGTATGAACATTTAGCAAGTCTGTTTCCATGACAACAGTTAGACACTGATAACACCTACTAGGTCTCACACTCATTGATCTGCTTGTTCTAGCTTGCATCCATAGTTCCAAAGGCTCTGCCAGGCAACATTCACACTCCAGTGTAAAATATGAGAAATATTCACCCCTTGTTGCTTTGTCTCTCTTACATTGTGCACGGAATAATCGTTAAAATATGTGTTATTGCAGCATTATGTTGTGTTCCATTAAATTGTTCATGTGTGGTTTGATGACGTAAGCTACATGAGGTGTTGGTTGCAGGGCGTGGATCTCCCCGCACACCTCACCCCTTGTTGCTTTGTCTCTCTAACCTTGTGCACGGAATAATAGTTAAAATATGTGTTATTGCAGCATTATGTTGTGTTCCATTGAATTGTTCATGTGTGGTTTGATGACGTAAGCTACATGATGTGTTGGTTGCAGGGCGTGGATCTCCCCGCACACCTCACAGCCCGTATGGCAGCAGCCCTGACCCCATGTTGATGTCCCCCCACTCCATCTCCCCCAACTCTCGCCAGTCTCAGCAGCCGGGAACACAGGTACGTTGTATCCTTCACTCCTCTGTGGAGATCTCGTTAGAATTGGGTCTTTGAAAGGCATTTAGAAGTGATACACATAAGGAAGAGAATATATGGATGTCAACTTCCTTTTATGAGGAACACAACGTTTCGGAGTTCCTGATGAAGGAGTAAGCATATACTCTGAAACATTGTGTTCGTCATAAAAAGAAGTTGACATCCATATATTCTCTTCCTTATGTTTAGAATTGGTTAAAATTCAGCAACCCGACTAATTTCAGTAAGAACCAACAAGCGGGATTGGGTGGTCAGACTCGCATCCTATATCCTCTCCCAATTGCATAGAACGATGCTTATTATCTCTCCATTCCAGATTCTATACTCGATTATTTACAGACTGTCGTCATCTAGCGGGAATATTGTTGAATGCGGCTTTATACAAATAACTAATATCAGGATTTATAGTAAATGGTTCCTCATCAACTGTAAATGGACACGAGGTTGAATATGTTTTATCATATAATGCATAGCTTAATCAAATTCATAAACCATCCAATGAATTAGGTATTACGATCTGATAAATATGCAAATATGTTGACCAATGAGTGAGTGAGTTAAGATTTAAAGTCACATCGGCAATATTTCAGCCATATAGTGACTGTTGACCCATGAAGATACGGGTCAGAATAGGTCTTCATGCTTGCTGTAAAAGGCAACAGTGCTTGTTGTAAGAGGCAACTAATGGGATCGGGTGGTCAGGCTCGCTGACTTGGTTGATGCATGTCATCGTAACCAAGTTGCGTGGATCAATGCTCGTGATGTCAGTCACTGGATTGTCTGGTCCAGACTTGATTATTTACAGACCTTTACATGTAGCTGGCATACTGCTGAGTATGGCGTTAAACAACAAACAATGAAAACAAATAAGGCCACCTAGCAGGAACTCCTTTAACCTGGTGAAGGAGTAAGCATATACTCCGAAACGTGTTCCTCATAATAGAGAAGTTGACATCCATAAATTCTCTTCCTTACTCTTTATAGGCTGCACTCATCGGTGAAATGCCTGTTTGCTCAATGAACTATTGCATAACATTCCACGTATGTGCAGTGCATATGAAAACAAAAAAAACTGCAAATCATTTGGCACATTGTGATGTATTGAATTCCTGAGAATGTCCCAACAATGTCACTGCCATAAATCCTGTGTTTTGGCTGTAGTCACACTATTAAAATCTTTAGATTTGCAACGGATGTCTTCTTCACTGTCAACTATCCATAATCAGTTGTGCAGACAACAGTGTCCTGCTGCCCATTGCTCTTGTGCATGTGCAAGGTGGGAAACTTCACGTTTGTCCTGTATTAAGACTTAGTTCCTAAATTTTATGAATGAAAACTTGGATATGTTGAAGACTTGTGTTATTTTAAGAATGTTATAATTTTCTATTTACCTTCTGTTACAACACGCTGCTACTTCTCTCTGCAGGTGAGCCCAGGAACTGGCTTCAACCAGTCCCAGCTGTCGGCTGCTTTTGCGTCCCAGCCTCTGTCCGCCCCGCCCAGTTTTTCAGGCCCGTCGCCTATGTCCACTGCCACATCCAGTTTCAACCAATCGCTGCCTTCTTCTTCTCAGGGCATTCCTTCCCAGCAGTCTTTTCAACAGCCTTTTGACATGCAGTTCCTGGAAACAGGGCCAGACGGGTAAGATCACTGCAGACCAGCAGAATATGTGTGTGAAAAATAGTGAGTGAGTGAGTATGGTTTTACACTGCTTTTAGCAATATTCCAGCAATATCACAGCAGGGGGACACCACAAAAATGGGCTTCACACATTGTACCCATGTCGGGAATCGAACCCAGGTCTTCGGTTTGACGAGCGAACGCTTTAACCACTAGGTTACCCGACGGCCCCCTGTGAAAAATAGAGTTAAATGGGATTGGTAGCCCGAAAAACTGAAAACTGCGATTATCTAAATTTGCTGTGCAGTTGTATCCCTCAGTCATGCCAGAAACGATAATAGTGAGTTTACCCAGTCAGCACCATACCAGTGCTTCTGACTATTACCAAAGTGGTAAGCATCGATTACCTGCATCACTTTAGGTTTTCCTGATACAATAACATAGCTGCCAACTGTCCTGAATGTTTCGGAATTTGCAACTAAAAAGTTAAAATATGATTTCTGCCTTAAATCATATGAATAATATGCAAAAGAAAATCACAAGGACTAATTTTGTTACAGACCGGTAAAGGGTAAGGGTAATTGTTTAGCCTGACACCATCTGCTTTGAACACATCTTGTATATCAACAGCTGTGAAGTCTATTTATAGTGTTGCATCTGTCCAATCGAGACACTCCATTCGTATTATCAGAAGTCACTGTAGTAAAAGTAGGACATAAACGATAAAATAATCAACTGAGTTTCAGAAACACATAGCTGTAGATTATTCATACCGTCAGGTTCTTGCTGTCCCAACTAGAAAGTTTATTTGTTAATTTGGAAAGGTGATGCTGAAACACCATGCTGAGACAGAAATACTGTTTTTAAGTGGCATCAGTGAACAAAAGGCACATATCCTTTGAATCCTTAACTTGACATTTTCATGGATTTCCGGGATTAATGTATCGTTTGTGGACACTTGAAGTGCCCACATATTTTCCTGACAGATCAGAACAGTCTTGAGTGTTTTAGTTTTGCAGCCATCTAAATGCCAATCCTTCTGAACAAAGATACCCGCTTTTGTTGCCCTGAAAACAATTGTCATTCCCTCAAAAAAACTACGGGGCAGTGGGGTACCCTAGTGGTTAAGGCATTGGCTCATCATGATGAAGACCCAGGTTCGATTCCCCACATGGTTACAGTGTGTGAAGCCCATTTTCTGGTGTCCCCCGCTGTGATATTGCTGGAATATTGCTGAAAGTGGTGAAAAACCATACTCACTCACTCAAAAACCTACTGTTTGTTCCAAGGATGCTCTTGTGACCTTGCTGTTGATCTTTGTACTATATTGCTGCAAAGTGGATAAGCCCATCAAAGGTGTTGATGTAGGTTGGTTACTTCCAGAAAAAAGCCTGTCATGTCGGGGGACCTAAACCAAGCAGTGTCCAACTCAACGTCACAGTACGTCAAACAGGAGCTTCGCATCATCTGTAGTGCACGCTCAGAGAAACAGCTTCAGTCACAACAGCAGCAGCAGCAACAACAACAACAACAGCAGCAACTTCAGCAGCAACAGCAGCAGCACGAGCCGATGTCATTTGACACTGGAGGAGAACTGCCTTTAGAAATTTTAGAGACAAGTAAGAAGGGCATGACGATTCAGCCAAGTTTTGATGCATCAACTCTCTGTTCTATTTTCGTTCGATTTCATGTTCTTTTCAGTATCGGTTGAATTATCTCAAAGTTACTGTACAAATATTGGTTAGTATTCCCTTTAAGTATGAGACTCCTTAACATGACCAATGCCATGTTTTGTTTATTCTTGGTCTGTCAGTCGGTGCATGTTTAATATTGTAAACGTGTAAGACCTGTATCAATTCTGGGTTTCCTCCCACAGTAAGCTGACAGGCAGTGATATGAATGAACCTGGGTGTTAATCCAAATTCACTCACTCACTTTGTTGTTACAGTTAATGACATGACGAAGGAGCATGCTGCAGTTGGCCTGGGTCCTCTCGACGACTTGGCGGAGAATGAAGACATCCTCAGCTCTTCCAGACAAGAGGCCAAGAAGAGATACGAGCAGTTCCGTGCCTTGTCTACAGGACAGACTCAGTATAGTAAGTAGATAGATATCCAAGATCCGGGTTAGAATTGGTCTTCGGCAACCCATGCTTGTCATAAGAGGCGACTAACGGCATGCCACCACATACCAGTTGCATAGATCGAAGCTCATGAGGTCAATCACTGGATTGTCAAGTCCAGACTTGTATATTTACAGACCGCCGTCTTATAGCTGGAATATTGCTGAGTGCGGCGTTAAACAACAAACAGTAGGCCTTTCTTCGAGTGTGTGAATCATTTACTGTGTTCTTATTGGTTATGTCACTGATACAGGCTGTTCAAGGGGTTATAACACTGGTATGTGCTGCACAGAGGTTATAACACTGGTATATGATGTTGAGGGGTTATAACACTGGTATGTGCTGCACAGATGTTATATAGCACTGGTATGTGCTGCACAAAGGTTATAACACTGGTATATGTTGCACAGAGGTTATAACACTGGTATGTGCTGCACAGAGATTAAAACAATGGTATGTTCTACTCAAGGGGTTATATAACACTGGTATGTGCTGCACAGAGGTTATAACACTGGTATGTGCTGCACAGATGTTATAACACTGGTATGTGCTGCACAGAGATTAAAACAATGGTATGTTCTACTCAAGGGGTTATATAACACTGGTATGTGCTGCACAGAGGTTATAACACTGGTATGTGCTGCACAGATGTTATAACACTGGTATGTGCTGCACAGGGGTTATATAACACTGGTATATGCTGCACAGAGGTTATAACACTGGTATGTGCTGCACAGAGATTATAACACTGGTATGTGCTACTCAATGGGTTTAAGAAACTGATATTTGCTGTGGAAGGAACACATTTACATTTGCTGTCCAAGTGGTTATGATACCAGTGATTTAAATAATTTTAAAACCCAACAAGTTGGGCAGGTGATCCACAAGTGTTGCCTGCCCATCTGCAAAATTAGCTTTGAGACATAACCAATATTGAAAATTCTTAAGAAAAATAAGAGGCAAATCACGTCTTGATTCACTTGAAATAATACAAACAATTATCCACAAAGAATTATAATAAAATTGAATATGTAAGTAGTCTTAAAATGTTCTGCAAGACAGTCGGGCAGGTGGAGGGAAATTTCATGCAGCCCTACAGAAAAGTTGCCAGCCACAGGCAAGCAGTTATTTCAGACATTGTAAGACACTAGTAATCACTGTCAAAGGGGTTATATCACTGACATATGCTATTATGGGGATTATAATTGGTTCCTGGTCCCTGTTCCACAAAACGATCGTAGCGCAACAACTATTGTAAGCCCATGTTAAAGTATGGGAGTTACGATCACCTTAGAGTTACGATTGCTTTGTGGAACAGGGCCCTGATCAATCTCAATTCAGCATTCTGTATTTGAACAGCTCCTTCAGATTCCTAAGTATGTTAGTAACGTGGTATTTGTATTGCAGTCCCAGATGATCCGGAGGGCAAGGCTACCAGCTTGTTCCGCAATCAGTTGTTGAGTGCACCCCAGTCAGGAGATCAGTCACAGAAACAGGGCGGCCAGAAGAACGAGCTTGTGACACAGGTCAACATTGTACAGAGAGAGCCACGGGTACGCTCCTTGTATTACTCATTTGCAGAGAGAGACATGCAAGTGTCTCGATAGACATCTCCACAAACAGATGCACCCTGGCAGATCCAGGGTTTTGAAAAAGGGAGTGCACTTGACTCCAGAATGGAAGGGAATAAAAACTGACAGAGGGACTGGCACGTGTTCTGCCTTCAGTCAGGATGCTCCTCCTCTGGGTCTGCCAGTGCAGGGAATTGCTCACACACTTTGCCCTGTGATGTCCTTTGGTCTAGTGGTTTAGTGGTAGAGCGTCTCCCCGGAGAGCGGAAGGTCCGGGGTTCGATCCCTGGCCGCATCATACCAACAGACGTTAAAAGATGGTACTTGTTGTTACCCTGTCTGTCTGTGTCACACACACACACACAGACACACAGACACAGACACACAGACACACACACACAGACACACACACACACACACACACACACACACACACACACACACACACACACACACACACACACACACACATCGCTATATAAGTGCAATAGTCTTGGACGCAATGTTAAACCCAATTTCACCTCACCTTTTAAAAGGTCATTTGGTCAATGTGATGGGGAAAAGCGTTATTCAGCCATACTTCTCATGCTGGTAATCAGATGCTGCTTGCCTGTCAGTGCATATAGGAGACACATTTGTACATGAAAGACGACAAGCCCCATGGCCAAGGCAAGGGTAAACTAGCTTGTATGATGAGATGATAATGTGAATGCACAATTTTCTGGCTCCTTATTTTGTTGTACACTACCCAGGGAGCTGTCAATGCAATTTGAATCTGATCTGTTGACTGTAGGAATAAAGTTGTGAGCAGGCCCTTCTGTGGTTTGGAGTTTTATGCTTTATATAAGTACTCTTTGTCTAACATGTAGTTTTACTTTCTTCACGTGAAGTTGAACCTATTTCACTTCACTTTAAGTCAAGAAGCTGGTTACATACTGATACCCATCCTTGGCGTTTCCACTAACGTTTTGTGGTTGTTTTGCAGACCCCTATTGATGATATACGTCCGGCGGACCAGAAGAATAGTTTATTACAGCAGCTGCTGTCTGAATGATGAAGTGAGAGGCTAGCAGGGAGATGTTGGACTACACTGGAGGGGACACAGGGCTTTCACTCTTTACTGTCAACCCAGAGATGCCACAACATACGGAAGAGGGCAAGAAGATGATATTATTTTTGTATGTGAGATACGTGTTCTGTTGTGTTGTGGAGAGGCAAGGAACCATTGCTCAGTAGTGTCAGCAGCCGGCCATTTGTACATAGTTCCACATAGTATTGTCGGGAAGCAGACATCATGATCTCACGGCCGCCTCTGCCATCCAGACGGACAGACGAGCGGACACATAGACAGATGGCAGTATTGTGCATTACCATGGAAACTCAGGTGGTTGAAGAATACATGACATCATGTATATCACGTTCTTACAAGGACTACAGAGGGCAAGATTTATTGAACCTCCTCTGGAATTCGGAGGGCAAAATTTATCGAAGCTCCTGACTACGGAGGGCAAGACCTATTGAAGCTCCTCTATACTACAGAGGCAAGATTTATTGAAGCTGCTCTGGAGAGACTAACAGATGAGGGCTATGAGCCAGAAGAAAGCTCATGATACACATATTCTTTGCATGTATGTTTTGCAAGTATGACACAGCGCAGCATTGTGAGATAGTGCAACTTTATGGGCAGCCGATTTTGGCGGCGTTGTTGTGATTCTACAGGAGGCCGTGTGATAAACAATGCTTACAGATTTCCCCACTAGCAGACTTGGAGCTTGTTTATGTTTATTCAGTGCACAAATCTACAAGACTGCAGAGTGCGTAGCAACAGACAGTCAAGTATTTAGTTGTTGCTTGTTGAGCTTCATCAGACTCACCGTGTACTCACAAGTGTATCTTCACGATTCCCATATCCCAATGTTCATCATCATGTGAGTTCATCATTGTGTACAGCACCTAGCACACCAAATGTGTTGTGCTGTTCACAACATTGACGCGGTGTTGAGGTCTAGTGGCAGTGTGCATCGCCCATGCCAGGCGGTTAACTGATATTGACAGTGCATATCACAGATTCTTGACACCGTGAAACGTCATTCGTCAGTTGTGTCACGAAATATGACTCTCTGCATCTCAACCCATCACTCGACCTTAGATTTTAGGGTATGCCTTCCACCCCCAAGTTACCGAAATGGTATCAACTGCCTTATAATGTGGACTATGTTGATGATAGGGGTGGAGGACTATTACATTTTGTTTGTAGGGTGGGAGAGTGATAAACAAGACATTTGCACAGTAATGTATTGTATGATTATACAGATTAAACATGTTGACTGCCCACTCGCAAAATAAGCCTTCTCCTATGTTAAACCAGGCCATCGAGCTCCACCTACATCCTCAGTATAACGCCTCACATCCACTTCTTCCTCTCTAAACAGCAGATCTGATACAGAGGGCCGAAAGGAAGAACGTTTTAGTTTCAGAATGATTAATTTCTCAAGGTATTGATACATAAGAAATGTCATCAACGCTCCAAGACAGAGATGTTTTAATTTATGTTCTATTTTCAGAATTTATTTTATTTTATGAAAAGGACACAAAAATGGACAGATATTTTAAAAAACTATCAGAGTCCCTAAATTGGTTGATGCTCGGATTGACAGGCTTCTCTTATATTGATGTTACTTTTCAACATAGAGTAACACTATCTATGGCAATGGTATTGAGAGATTTGATGTCAGCATGTTAGGGTAGAAGTGAGGCGTTGTATTGATGGTAAAAGTCAAGGCTTGGTGCAACCTTATTCAGTGGTTTTGCCTTGAGTTCCGTGTTAAGTGAACATTGTTTTCGTACGTACAGAAACTCCTTTACTGGATGTGAATGTATATTTCTGTTGATAGTTTCTTGTAGGTGCCTCAGATTGCAACACTGCGTGTGTGTTACAGAAATGGCATTTTAATAAAGAACTTGTTAGATCTGATATTTATTACCCTGAAACAAGAATGTCAGATTTGAAACTTGCTTTACTACCACAAGAAGTCATTTCCTAATCGGATTACGATGGAGTTTTTGCAGTAGGTCTATAAGCAAATTCCAGTTTCTCAGACTGATTCAAGTAAATATCCATATTTTGAGAGAATTGATACATTTACATAAATTGGAGATTAATATGGGGGTATGTTCCGTGTTTTCAGGATTTACAGTTTTAGATTTTCTCAGAATATTATAGATTCAATATTCAAGCTTTTATATCAAGATATTGTGACAAATGATATTTGTTATATTTTCTTTAAAAAATGAACTTTCAGTATATTTATTGTCAGTATTAAACAATTAACTTAATGGATTTCATTATATGATAACTGATACAATTTGTAATCGTCTCATGTATTTTGAAAATTGTTTTAAAAAACTGTACTTCAATTTACATTCAAAAGAAACCTTTTGACATTCATGGGAAAATATCCCTGTGATTTAAATTTTACATTGTATCACTGAGATCTTTAGTTAATGGATAAAATATTATAAATGAAATTAATCAAGTTGAGTTTGGAAAGATTTATAATTGAAAAGAGTAATCATTTCCCTCTGGACTGGTGGAGTTCAGGTTTCTAAAGACTTAAACACATTGCTGATGCAGACAAGCTGATGAAGATGGATTGAATAATGAAATACACCAAAACTTAGTGTCGTCACCTGAGGCATCAAGAATATTAGAAACAACATTTCATCAAATGTAGAGAAATTATTTGTTGTAGATTTGTTAAACATATCTGTTGATTAATTGTATCAAATTTCTTTTATAGATGATCAAGCGGTCATTCCTCATTTTGGATTGTCACACTGGTCACAAGAAACGTAGTTGTTCGATTTGTACAGTTATAGTGTTTTATTTCTTAGAGGTTCAACCTCATGAGGAAATTGCCAACTCTCTTATGGTTGCCATGGAAATGTCAAAGCGCGTTCCCATGACCACTACTAAAAGTAGATCGATTTTGTTAGTTTAAAAAAGTGCTATATAACTTCTGTTTTCTTCATCCCCAGTGAAAATTTGTTTCCTGTATCTATTCTGTACTAGATGTCATGTCTTGTTTTCGTTACCATGGTTACGGCCACCGTCGTTACAGTTGCTAACGCTGCCACAACCAGTCCCCTATTGTTCTGTTGACTTCTTCTATTAGTTGCGGGATAGTTCGGCAGCACTTTGACGTATGTGTGACGCGTGACGTCCTACTTGGATGGCGTATGTGTGACGCGTGACGTCCTCCTCTGATGGCGTATTCTTGCAGGGAGGAAGGCTGGTTAAAGTGCATATTGTGACTTGGATGGCAGTTAGAACTCGGAGACTGGTAAGAAGGCAATAAAATACATGTATGATTATACAAATATTTGTCTGTTGTTTTGTTAACCTGTGTACCTTGGAACATAGCTCAAGAACAGAACACATGGTCAGTGGCAGCCATACTGTTTACTTCTCCCATCATACAAGTCACTTCCTGTCCCTTAGCACATATACAAATTGTACCCCTTACCACATACAGTAACAGTTTCTTCAAGGGTCAAATTGTGTCTTTTGTGACCATAGTCCTTGGCAAAATTGGTCCCCTAGTATTCTGTGTATCTTTTACTTATGTCTTCTTACAGGAGTTGATACATAGAAAACCACTGTCGGGGTCAGAAAATATTGGACCAAAAACACAACTCCCACACAAATACTATATATTGTGTCCAGAGTGTGTAGACTATGGGATGGAGCAGTAAAGAATTTGCTTTGCATAGCAGCATGCCCAGGACCCTACGATTGTGGGTGTGTCAGCACTAAACTGCGCTGTTGGTTTCACCAATCTGCATCACATCAGCCTTTGCACTTTGCACCCTTGTTGATTCGGGTAAGCATATAGGTCCCCAGCTACCTATGTTTGTCATAAGCATCTTCCCAAGGCAAGGAAGTTAACTGACTGTAAGAGTCAAGTTCCCACCCTTGCCGAACTTGGCTGAAAATTCCAGGCTCGATCGTAGCGCAACCAGTGGCTATTACGTGTTATGTCCCTTCTACGTCCCACCTGTTGATCAATCAGATTACATCTCTTACGTCACTTGCAATTACCTAAAATAAAATGGCGTCGCCCAGTGAAGACGATCGATAATCAATATCTAAGACTATATTGTAATAAAAGGGGTCTTGCTTCCCGAAGTGCAGCAAATCAGGTTGATCACAAACAAAAAAGATTTGGAATATATCTGTTAACGTTAAGTTGGTACACATGCTTTGCAAAACCTGCAATCGACCGAAATGGTCGTATGTGATGTCAAAATGGATCATGTGGTCATGTTCGGTGACTTTGTTTTTTTACATCTCAGTTGTGTGAGTCATGGCTCATGATGTCAATCAATGTCTGGACCAGACTTGATTATTTACAGACCACTCCCCGCCGGAGTATTGCAGAGTGCGGGGTTAAAAAACAAACAAACTTCGGGTGTTCATACCACATCAACCTGACCTCCAGTGATATAAATTAGTGATCAAAACAGCCATTTACAAAAGTAACTTACTTCTGACTGTCCTACTGGGGAACTTGTATAACAGCAGACCTAATGGTGTTTCGGCTTGTCAAGGTTAAAAGAGCCATCAGCACGTTAAGCCCTGGTCTGGACAAACCCAGCTGTTTTTGGACTGCGCAGGTTGTCTATCAAAGGGATGCAACTATGTTTACTCTCGAGTTTGGACTAAATTTTGTAGCATGTGTATTATGGTTGAAGTATATATAAATATGTTCTTCGATACATTTGGCCACAAATTAAGTAAACTATTTTGGAAAAGTGATCAATTAACTGGGTTTAAAAACATGTAAGGATTAAATGAGGTCACAAAATACATGTTATATTGCAGATCAAACAGATTTAAAATACCAAAACTAATAATGAACTCTGGAATACAGCAAATTGACTGCCGTTTAATTACCGGTGTGCACTTAACACACGCATTTAATGAGCTTCACAGCGCGAAGACGTTACTCGATTATTTACAGACCACCGTAATATTGCTGAGTGCGGCGTTAAAAAACAAACAAACAATTCGTAAGCATGTCAAGAATCCGTACTAAAGTACGTTAGTTAGTCCTGTTATGACACTTTCTGGTCAGAAAAGTGTACATTGTGTATCTGGAATTTGTGTATAATCTATTATATATTAATTTCGGCAAAATCGCGTGTGAACTGATCGGCATAAGTCATTGGAGGAACAAAGTCTTCCTACCGGGACTGCACGTTGGCTTAATTACGAATTTTGCCAATTTCAGTGAGTGACGTTTAATCCAAATTTAAGACCCGTGAAGATCCGGGGTAGAATAGGTCTTCGGCAACCCATGCTTGCCGTGAAACACGATTACGCTTGTCGTAAGGGGCCACTAACGGGATCGGGTGGTCAGGCTCGCTGACTTGGTTGATGCATGTCATCGATCCCAATTGCGTGGATCTATGTTCATGATGTCAATCACTGGATTTTCTGGTCCAGACTCAATTATTTACAGATCGCCGTCATATAGCTGGAATATTGATGTGTGCGGCGTTAAACAACAAACCAAACCAAACCAAATTTAAGCCATAAGCGAAAAAGGACCAAAACATTGAAAGGAAGAATGAATATCCAAAGTTTAATGAAACAATACTCAAAAAAGGAATCAGAGGGCAACACTTTACATAAGACTTTTCTTTTTCGACTTGAAAATTATGAGTCAACACGTCACAGTTGAAATGACAACTGACAAGAAAGTAACAACAAACCAATATAGCAGTTACGCTTGTCTGCCCTATGCGTTTAAAATGCCACACTGAGCAGCCAGAATATCACCTACGCTAGGGGTCCGATGTGGCTTGTGGAAACCTTCAACAGCGCTTTAGGTGCAATATTGGGGCAAATCAGTTTACGTTCAGTGACAGGATGCCTCGTGGGACCCTTCAGCCTAAATATACACTTGCGTTTGCGTCTCTCTTGATATACAAGTTGACTTTTCACCGCTGCACAAAATTGTCATTTATCAGAGGCGTGTCACCATCAGATTCTAGTACATGAAGTATATAGCTCTTCAGCAACCTATGCTTGTCGTAAGAGGCAACTATAACGTGATCGGGTGGTCAGGCTCGCTGACTTGGTTGATGTATGTCATCGATCCCAATTGCGTGGATCGATGCTCATGTTGTCAATCACTGTATTGTCTGGTCCAGACTCCATTATTTACAGACCGCCGTCATATCGCTGGAATATTGCTGAGTGCGGCGTTAAACAACCAAAACAACCAAACAACATGAAATATATGTGACGTCATAGTGCCATACACATGGACCTTCCTTTCTTTCATCAAACTTGTAGGTACTGAAATACATGATTAAACTACTGACCAACTGAGCTGACCTTCAAGGTTGCAAGACATAGCATGTTGAGGGTTAACAGACATCTGAACCTGTGTGATACATTCAGTAAACCACGCCGGTTACATTGGTGATATAATGGCGTTATAGTAGTTCAGGGCAAACCTATACTTTACACTATGCATGGGAGTAGTGTATACTTTATTACTTTTCTAAGATCCCGAATTTAAAACTAACCTTGTGTTTTATTGGAACTGGGTTCAATATACGTAAAATTTGGGTTACGTAATGACGTAAATTGAAAATCCTCGAACAGGGCTAACTGACGGGCTCATCCACCTGATTGCTTACACCCTGACGTTCAGAGAAATATTTACGATTTAAACATAATACAACGCCACTAAATGGGTAGTTTGTTAATTAGAAGTTGACATTTGACACTCTTGTGTGGTGCAAGTGATATAGACACTGATTTACACTTATGATATATTCTATTGTGCGTTTTGTTAATGACCCAAATACCATCAAATTTGTAAAATTTACCTCCCGCCGAAAGAATTTTCTTTAGCCTGAATTATCCATCTGTCCATCTGTAGATCTATATATAATTTTTTAATGTAAGGTTTACACGATATATGGCTTTTCCATTGGACGAGAGGTCTGTCACATGACCGCGAAATTGACGTTCATAAGTCATGTATGAATTATACAATTTGACGTTCATACGATTTTCACGAGACCGTGTTCTTCAAATGACGTAAACGCTGACGGACTACTTCTACATTCTTGGGGGACGCCCAGGTAATTCCCAGCACGAATACATACAGAAGCGCGGTTCCTTATCATTTAGTCCCTTTAATCTTGAACTCAGCGTTTTAGCATACATTGAGCAACGTCAGAAAGTGTGGCTGCATGAACGTTCACGAACATCCTCGCTACGATCCAAATTGTGTCGTTCACTAAGAATTGACTTTCACTTTGTGTGAGTTCATTGGAGTATGAACCTTCATAGAGTGAGGACCAAACTTTCATTTGGGGAAACAAACCAGATACAATAAAAAGAAGTTTACTTGTATGTGAAAATAAAGATGGAGGCATAAAATGCCCACAAATACAAGAAATAGAGCAATCTCAAAAGGTATCGATAATACGCAGGGCATTTGGAAAGTTTTCAAAATGGTCGCACTTGTCATATTTTGCTTCCGTAATATTATGTGGACGGCGGAATATAATAAATATTCCAAGTATTAATAATGTCAGTTCCTTCGAAATGAATAGTTGTGATTTAAAAACAAAGATACTGGCGCAGATCAGTAGTAAATACTATGAGGGTGTATTTTATGCGTGGTGACTTTTTTCTAAAAACAAAGGATAAAGAAAATTGCGAATTTGGTATTCTTTCACAGGGAATTTGGTTTAACGATAACATTAAAATATATACTAAATGTATTCTGTGTAAGGATTGAAAATACAAAGGGATAAACTATATCAATGGCCTTTTTGGTGAAATAGGACTTTTGTTTCGTTTGAAAAACTCAAAGAAAAATAAAAACATGAGTATTCTGAATGGGGTTAACCAATTTCCAAAAGGAATCGGAATACCCAATTCGACCTTTTTACTTGTTTCACCGACTTACAACATCAACGGGAAGTCAACATTACAAGTCAACCTTAATACAAAACAGTTGTGCCAAAAATCAACACTGTGACAAAATGGAAAGTCTACAACAAATTAAGATGACGGATAAAGATAAGCTTAACCATAACTTAATAGCTTTCAGGTGTGTAACCTACGCGAAACTCCAATGGTTTCAATTCCAAATAATGCACCTTATTTTACCAACAAAGAATAAATTTCACAAGATGGGACACGTTGACAGAAACGTATGTAGCTTCTGCTCAGATTTCAAAGAAACTTTGAACAACTATTTGATCGTGTAGAAAAGTGAACTCTCTTTGGATTGATTTAGAAAACTGGATATTAAATTAAATACAGGTCAAAATTAAATATTCTTAAG